ACGAACAAAGGAAATATTGATAACCTTAAACAATGTTTTATGGTAATGACATGGAAGAATGCTTGAATTAGAATGATTTTGATCGTTTGAAATTCTATACTGAAGGCAACTTCATTTCGAAAGAGATTGAGCAAGTTTGCAAAAGTTTCATAGTTTTCAATGAAGAACAGATAATTATCAATTTATCTTACCTATAATCTAGTAGAAAACTGGAAATAGGAATAGGTACCTTAAAAAATTGGCTATTTAGACTCACTAGACTATCCTTCATAAAAAAGAACCTTTAAAATACATCAAATATATGGCGCAATATAACTCAAAATCATTCAAGAAGGTAGTGTCCAACAAGAGAGTATAAGCCAGTGTAGTATACGAAATTTATAAATCTTTGGCCAATGGAACAATCGTTTGAAATTGTGTTGAACTGGAGAAAGGAACAGTAAAAATATCATGAAACGAAATGGACCCATTAACAACTCGCCAACAACTTTACCTGGCAGGCCTTCAAGGCAAATGGGTCCATTGAATTTGAGGTTTTGGTCTCGTTTGTAAGCTATACCTCTACTCCTAATTCCATTCATAAATTAGTATTTAAAATGATAATGATGCTACTGGAAGTTGAATAGTATATAATTTACCATGAAAACGAGTCGGAGCTCCAGGGGCTACTGTTTATTTACATTCAATGATTTATGTGTTTAGGTTCTGTCAATAATTAAAGATATTTCTACATAGGTATACACATTATTTGATAAATAAAAAATAACGCAAGCTGTAACTTCGCCATTTTTTCTAAAATTCAAAAAAATTGCAATGGTATAATATGTGTAAACCCCTCGGTAAACCCAAAACATCCTGAAATCTCTTAATTATAGTACTGGTTTTCACTCGGGTTTTCATATATTATGATGATAATTAATTTTGAGAAATGTTGGCGATAGTGGTATAAACTGATGATGATGGAGCTATCAAAACATGAAGGCGAATTTCGGCTACTTGATATGTTATAAGGCTTCGATCATACAAAAGTATCGTATGAAAATTCAATAGAATTGCTTATTTTTTCATTTTTGAAAATCTAGTACAAATATAATTATATGATATGATCTATGATTCATATCAGGTATCCATTGTTATACCATGCCATAATTTGATTATGACTTATGGATTTCCAGATATATGTATCAATATCAATCAACACCTTTCATAAATACAAGTTGATAACCTATCAGAAAAATAAACGAATTGTCATCTCAGATAACTCATTTGAGTTTCATTCATGTGGTGACAAAAGCCTTGGAGAAATTTCTCTCAACAAAGAAATTAAAAAAAGTTCATATGAACATGGTCCTAATAAAATGCATCGTTCCCGAAAAATATCTTGAAAACGCTCAAGCCGATTTGAATAAAATTTCAATGGTTTATTTACACAATTATCAGACATTTAATGGACCAATTAGATTTGATCCAGAATTTCCAGGGGCATACCCATTGAGCAAGTCGGTTTTTTTGTAGAAGATAATATCACCCTGTACTTTTTTCTCCTCAAAGATTCAGATAATCCCACTAAAAATACAACATTTCTGACTGTTGCTATTTTTGCGTATCTAGCTAGGTTTTCGAGAAATACGGCCAATTCATACCTCGGCATATCTCTGCATTAGGAAAAATAAAAATGCTCAGATATATTATCCAAATATTTTTTGCACTTTTTTATTTATGAAAACAAAAAAGACATAAAATTCAATACCCTCTGTAAAATGTATCTCGGAATCGAAGCATTTTTGGACCCATGTTCATATGAACTTTTTTCTCGACTTTTTTTTCATATTTCGTTGAGAGGAATCTCTCCTAGGCTTTTGTCACCACAATTCTGAAATGACCGGTATAGCATCGTTCGAAACTAAAAAAATACTTCATATTTTTCTTCAAGAAGACATAAGTAATACTTAGTAGGTACAGCCGTCTTCAGAAAACATACAACGATAACACAATAACTTCTGCAGTATGAGCGATAACACCGTCCAATTGTGACATGTTCATTGAATAGGACTGTACATTAGTCTATCCTATATATGTCTATGAATTTTTATAATCATCAGGTAAACAAAACTATTAAATTTTGCATCGTCATTACCAGAAACGGATTGTTGATGATTATTGTTGGGGAATAATCAGTAACTGAGATATCTATTGCATGATATCAGAAAGGAAACTTCCGATTCTTGAGACGTCATCGATTTATACACAGGGCTTTCATTTCAAAACTTACCACCCTGATGCCTATATCTGCTGATGTGTGGTGATTACAATTTACAGGAAAAATAGGTCGATTTAAATATCGAGGGGGAAGTAAAATACGTACCCTCGAAAATACCAGTATCGATTGTATGCTATTTTCATTCCCTTCAACCCCAGATACCCCTACTTTGAAATTCAAAATTGCACCTCCTATATACCTCGAGATTAATAAAATTTAAAGTCTAGCAATAACCAAATCAACCAGGTAAAAACAATTTTGTCTAAACATATCAGGGATATACGTTGATTATAATATCGAGGGGAAAGTTAAAATGGGTCAGTTAAACGACCTATTTTAACTGTGATTATATCTCGGATTATATACAGCTGAAAATTTTGTCAATTTTCATCAAAATTATCATCAGAAGTTGATGTACCTATATAAGTCATAAACTTTGTATAAAATCAATTGAATGATGGATTAATCTACTTATTTTTTCGGTATACCAAGTTGAAAATTGTTGATTAGTCATTTGTCAATTTGAAAATATTGATATGGACCCAAACTAAGAAATATGTCAAAATGTAAAATCCAGAAAGTTCGTCAAGAATTCTAAAATTGGCTGTATTATTGAGTACAGAATATTGGAGCATTACTCAGCTGGTCGGATTGGCTTGTTTCCGCCTGAATTTGATGTATTTCAAGGTATAGGGGGTGCCATTTGAAATAGTTGAGTAGGGGTGGCTGTGGGTGAAGGGAATGAACATAGAATTCAATCGATACTGGTATTCTACTCTTCCCCCTCAATATCTAAATCGACCTATTTTGTTTGAAAATTGTGATCACCGCAGATCATAGTGAGATATGCTGTGTGGCAGGTTTTGAAATGAAAGCCTTGTATATCAGATGTAAACCACGTATTTCCTGGATGGATTCCCCATTGAAACCCAATCAAGAGCCGCTGCGACATAATCTAATTGACTATCATCCGACGCATGTCCCCTATTATACTAACCTCAAACTGCATACAATAGAATATACATTAAATAATACGTATTCATTCGACGGATGGGGACGGCTGATGCAGTTCAGGGTTCACCAACTTTAAAAAATTATGAAACAATGCAACAGCAGTGTTTCTCGAAGTAGTCAAAAGTAGTTCAGAAGTTTTCACAGGTACCTGTAGTAGAAATAACTCAAGGTGAATACACAATAATTATTATAACAGTATATTTCAAGGTACAATATTTCATTTATTAGCAACATAGTAGGTACTCTGTCCGTATATACAGCAGTAACTACATAGCTAGTAGTGCCAGTTAGATGTCAAATTTGGCAGACAAAATAATATAATTTCTCAAATCCCACGAGAATAGGCGAATGCTGCAAATCATACGAGTGGGAAATTAGCATTCCCTGTGAGTTATACACTATACTTTTTCTACGGCTGTAACAGATTACAGCGACATTTTTTGGTTTTTCGGCTTGTAGCCATCTGATTTTCTCTCAAATAACTCGAACTCAACCAAATTAGTTCACAGGATATATCAGATACGGAAATGAAGTTGATGACATTCAAAGTACTTCATTGATGTATCGAACACAATAAAACAAGAGCAATTTTGTGTTATTGTCGTAGAAAAAAAAATCCCGCATATACAGTGTGTAAATGAATTAGTGTGAAAAAATTGAGGGGCTGATTCCGTGTCATATATTTTGTGAAAAAAAGTGCATATTAACATTTTTGTCCTAACTAATGCTTCGTTTTTGAGATAGAGGGTATCAATGTTTTCATGAAGAATCAATTACTCGAAAGTATTTTTGTCCATTCTAACAAAAATTAATAGTTCTGTTAACAGTGCCATATTGTACGGTACTGGTTTTTATGTTCCATATTTTTTTTCAGATTGAACAATCAAAAATACAACGTTTGTGTCCAATGTGTTACGTTTGTATCTTGCTTAGTTTTTTGGAAACGATTAAAATTCGATTTGACTCAAAAATTAGATGTAATGGCTCTCATTGTAGCATTCTGACATTTTGAGTCTTTGGCAGGCATAGCAAGCATACTAAATTTTGCCTGCATGAGAACATATACAGGGGGTTTAAAAAACAATTATTACTTTCAACTTCAATACCGTATATCTCAAAAAAGAAGGCAAGTCAGATCAGCCATGTTTATTTGAACTCTTTTACCTAAATTATGACAAGGAACCATCTCTTCCTCACTTATACATTTAGTAGTGAATGTATTCACCTCGATACAAATGAATATAATTTTTTTTCGTTTCATCATGTAGATATCTTCAATATTGTTAGGTGTTATTGCGAATCTGAAAAAATCTGAGTCGATCCATCTTATCAATATTTTTCTTGAGTAGAGAAACATTTCATGAATATTCCTTCTGAATTCATATGCATTCTCTATATTTGTCAGAAAATCACCGAAATTCATTATCGGATTCATATAGACACGGTTAGGATGCATCGGCCGAAACCATAAATCTGTCAAATATGCAAAATTATCATGAATGAACTCAGCTTATACGTTTTGCTGAAGTTGCTGTTACTATTTTGCTGACAACAAAAGGTATACTGAGGTATTGCGTTACAATCTAGTGTGATTTACCTCAAAATAAATATAGACAATAAAGGAATATTCTTCGTTGTTTTTGGTCTGGAAATAATCAAGATATTGACAAATTTATTGCGATTTATTCCCCAATACATTTTATCAATTGTTTTTTTCTTGTTTCAGGATTTATTAACACAAATGTTTTTCCATCATTACAATTACATGGTGAGTATGTTTTTAATTATCCTTGAAATAGATGAATTTTAAGAACTATGATATTCATTGAGTTGAGACATTAAACATTCATAATCAATGCATCAATATCCCAGTTTACAATGGTGAACGTGTGTTTTACTCAATTTCAAAACATGTTCTCAGTGGTATTGTTTGTTATTTGGTTCGTATTGTTATTTAATATGTGGTTTCGATATTTCTGTTTTCAATATGGCCAAGGTTATACGTACAAACTATAGTATGACCAGATTGGGAATAGATAAACTCGTAGATAAAGTCCTCACACATATATTTTGTAAAAATGATAAATATATAATCAGTGATAAACATTATCGTTTATTTTGGCTAGGTTTTGATGGACATATATTTCATTTCGTATAATTTTCCTAGATACCTATATTCATTCAGGGTACACGTTCTCATGATGGTTGGGTTATACCCAGGGATACCTATAACGACAGTTTTGAATAATAAGTTGGAAGTATTGATCAAAATGAAGACGTATTATTGTTATAATTTAACAAACATTTTCATCGCACACTCCACACACAAAGGGAGTTTGAATACTTTCTTCTTTCGATAACTTACTGCTGAGTTTTTTTATACCTACCTCACAAATAGTTGAAACGTTTTCAGAATATTGTCACATTGTCACTGTGGGAAAAATATATCTTATCTTTTGTTAAGAGGACTCGTTTTTATCTAGATACGAACATCAGGTGAACTTCTTCTTCAAATATTTAAATTCGATAAAACGGCAAAGAATTTATTCATTGAGAACAGCCTAGCCTCACTAAAGTATTACTCATAATTTGTATACGATGTTATTTTTCCCACCTTCTGTCATACAATAACAAATAACTACTCCCTTACCTGAAATCTGTTCCTATTTTCCTTCAAAAGTCCAAATTTGGTATATTTACAGGGTCTGTCAACCAGAACTTGACTTCCCATAAACTTTGAAGACCAATTTTATTTTGAATTCGCCGAGACTCGTCAATTTCTGATCTCAGGGAAAGTATTTTTGACATTCAAGCCTACTAGATATGCTCACCCCCCTAACCGTAGCAACTACAACTTTGAAATTTCAAACAGAACTACCCTTCCTGTAACAAATCTCTTCAAAGCCCTTTCTATTGCGAATAGACTGGTGTATTGTTTTTGGAATTCGGTTGACATTTGATTTGACTGAATTTGGTATTGGTGATTCGATTGATGGAAAAATGGCCACCAAGATCACCTGATTCAACCCCTTATTTGAACTCTTTCCACCCAGCCTGAAACACTATAGACGTTGCGAAATGAACCAATCCAATAGTCGGAAACTAGGCATCAATGATTTGACAGCACGCATCTTCGCAATATTCAGGTCAAAGTTTGGTTCCGAAAACAAGCGCATGCACCTTATATTATATGTTACAAAATCATCTAAATAAATTGTATAGTCGGTTCGAAGAATAGCATATATTAAGCAAGCAGAACTTATTACTGTTGAAGAAAGATCAATGATATTTCAAATCCAAATTCCACTTTTGTTTAATCTCATGGAGAACGAATGGTATTTCAGACAAACATAAATGATCTAGTATTAATATCGATCTGAAAAATAAATAATACAGATAATGTCACAATTATGTTGTTTATCAGACACCAATATTAGAATGTGTTTTGAACTGCGCTAAGATTATTTCTCTTTACTTAGCCTGGCAAATATTTATTTTAATTTCTGGCTCATTATTAATAAACCTCGTGTGGGAAAGATTTCATCTAAATTCATTTTAATCGGTATTATCGGTTATTCGGAATTGGGATATAACTCGATTCTGGGATTCGAATTCATTAGTTACGGTAGGTATTTTAATTTTTTGTTTAGCAGTAAACAATCATGCCACAATGAATGGTGACTGCAAATTACACTTTCTGCATGTATCTTGGAAGTCCCCGGTCATTGTTATAATGGTTAGATCATTATATCCATCCATCTCAAGTATCTATGTTATAGTACTATGTGTATATGATGGTACTGCAAATAACGAGGCAAATAATTTCTCTCAAAGTGCTTTATGCAATTCAGCAAACTTATAAATATTATTATATCAAGATATTTTGAAATTTTCAAATGTTTCAAAGCGTCCAAGCTCCAAAAGTGATAAGGATACATTTATATTTGAACGAGTGTAAGGCAGAAGACATTGAACTCGAAAACGATACCATAGGTACCGACACAGAAATAAGTGCACTGTTTTGTTTTAATTATTTTTCGTATCATCATCATTTACTGCCAGTTGAGGTGTATGTTGAATATTATACGAAGATACAACTATCCGTGTTATTCCAAAAATGTTTTTTGAAGTTTCCATCGTTCAAGTTTGAACCCCTTGATTGGGTGAAAGTTTTGAAAAGGAACATTCTCAGATATATTTATGAACACAAAAAAATGGATATATATATATATAAAGAAATATATTGAGAATTCGCATTCTCCATGTGATGGAAATATCAATTCTTTCACGGTTTATTCAACAGAAAACAACTACTTTCCTGGCTATATGCCACGACGAATATTGAATTACATCTATCGAACACACACGATGAGAATTTGAAAACAAAATCTTCTGAAGTAGAGAATTTGCATTCTCCTTCATATAAAGATATGCATATAATATAATTTTGAATATTCAACAGAAAACAACTACTTTCCTGGCTATTTGCCACGTCGAACATTGAATTATATCATGTTGAATATCCAAAAAGAGAGCATGAAAGATCAAAATCCTCTGAAATTGAGAATTAACATCATCTCTCAAATCGAATAGAATGATATGATGTATTATGATATAAAAATATAACTTACCGATATGTTCAGTATTGAAATGTATAGGAGAAGTATACTTGTATGAACTCTGATCTTGATTCTTTTTCAAAAAATCCATCTTATGTTCATGAATATATACCTTAGGACAAGATCCACAGTTGAGTTTGTATACCTCTGATATTTAAAATTTAGAAGTTTTGTCTTTATTATTTTTGATGAACCTGTGTGTTTATGTAGAAATGAAGCTAAACTACCGGAAAGTTTTGGAGGTTGAGGATTCATGATAGTTAATCTGAATTTTTCGGCCTTTGAAATTACGTGCATCTTGTCGCCCTTTTCATATAAAGGTAACATCTACCCCTCCTAGGGGGTTGAACCAAGAATACTAAAAATATGCATTCAAAGTGTCCCCCTTGATAAAATGACATCGACCTGTCTTTTCGATTATTCATATTATATACTGAGAGGAAGATATTAGGGATGTAATTGATACGGCACTTTTCGGAAATTGTCCAACAGAAAATGATGAACTAGGGTACCATTGGAAAGAGAATTGAACGCCTTTCAAAATGATGTGCCACTCAACCCCCCTTCCCATTTGAGATTATAAGGGTAACATTCTAACAACTCTCCTCCTTGAAAATAAAATAGACCACACTCACTCCGACCTTTCACTTTTCTATCGATACTTCCACGGGAAATGTTCTTCGCAAATCTCTGCTATCATCCCTTCACTAGCAATACCAGTCAGACGAACTAGACAAGCCCACTCAGCACATCCTTTCGTTGTCAACCTCGAAAGATGTCGAACAGCACTTTATCTGAACTCCTTCATCCATAGAACGGCTAGGCTTTGGAATTCATTGCCTGAGGAAGTATTCCCAACAGCATATAATCTCCAGGAGTTCAAAACAATTCCAATACCTATACCTCCTCTGTCCCTATCCATTATAGGGATTTCCTTCCGTGCGCTCCAAGCGATAAAAAAAGACCTGATGTTTTTTCGATTTTTCATATTATTTACTGAAAAGAAGATACTAAGGGTGGGAATTTTTCAAAAATTGGATTCATTTTATCGCCCTGTAGGTATATTCCAACCTCCACAACATTGCAAGGTTGGAGAAGTGAATAATAGATATAAATTCAAGAAGAAAGTGCTATGCGGTAACCATGTAAATTTGGACATCAAAAAATCATTATCGGGCGCCTATGTCTTGAGCAACATTCATGACATAACTTCAACTAGTCGCAGTTATTGAATCAACAACGAAACAGTTTCTTTTGAGGTAATAATTATTAAGTTATTGCCTGCCGATAAGTTGCGGGTTATCATTAGTAGGTAATACTCTCGGTAATACTAGTAAGACGAACTGGACAAGCTTAGCCAGTACATCATTTTGTATCAAACTTGAGCACGTCCACCAAAACCAAAACAAATTCAAATATCTACAGTGTGTCTCACTTCTAATGGAAACACCCCTGTATCTTAGGTAATGAATGGGTAAGGATTCTGAAATCTGCTGGAGCCAGAGATATACCAAAAATGATCTTCAGTGATTTACACTGCTCGCCAATAGCCATGAAACCACCCCAATTCCCGGAAATTTATATTAGGAGTCGAAATAGGTTGAAAATCACATCGGATTCGGAATCAGGACGCGCAATTCACTAAATATTCATATTTTTCCTAAAAAATTTTCAGTTCTGAAAATTTTTTTTTGGCTCACTTTTCATGGAAACATCGCCGTAATCGTGTTAGTATCCCGAAATTTTCTGGGAGCGAAAGATATATCAAAAATTCACTCTATGACTGAGTGAGGTCATATTCAGTGATATACAGTGGTCTCTAACAGCCGTGGAACTACAGAAATGTCCAGAAAATAATATCATTTCAATGACACCCGTCATGATTTCTGATCCATTGGATCACTCCTGATGATAGATTTGATTGTACTAGTTCAGATTGTTAATTCATTATCCCTGATGACAACTGACTTTATGACTATCAATTTCAGAACAACCATTAGGTGAATTTTCCCATTTAATAAATTTTTCCTGAGGTCATATTCAGTGATATACAGTGGTCTCCAACAGCCGTAGAACTACAGACATGTCCGGAAAATAATATCATATCAATGACACCCGTCATGATTTCTGATCCATTGGATCACTCCTGATGATCGATTTGATTGTACTAGTTCGGATTGTTAATTCATTATCCCTGATGACAACTGACTTTATGACTATCAATTTCAGAACAACCATTAGGTGAATTTTCCCATTTAATAAATTTTTCCTCCTGGAATGTCGGTGGATCTGTCGCTGCTGGCGAACAGTGTATCATTGAAGATGATCCTACTTGGTTATTGGTCTCTTTCTTATTCCTAAAATTTTCAGACCCCTACATCGATAATAAAGTAAGATACGACTCGATCGGGTGCTTCCATGAAAAATGAGACAGAATTTATTATTTCTGAACTGAAAATAATTCAAAAGGAATATGAGTATTCAGTGAATCAGACGTATCCAAAGTGATTTCCAACCTATCTTGTCTGCTAATATGATTTTTCAGACATGTAGGTGGTTCCATGGCTGCTAGCGGGCAGTGTATATCACTGATGAAAATTTCAATTGGCCATCGACTGTATCTTCGGAATATTTCTTGTTGCTGGAAATTCAACAATCCTAACTCGATAATTACGTAAGATACGTGAAAAGTGAGACAAAAATGAAATTCCTATTCCGAATCCTGATATCACTTTCCGGAAATTGGGGTGGTTCCATGGCTGTTGGCGAACAGTGTATATCACTGAAGATTACCCCACTTGGTCATAGAGTATACATTTTCTGTATATCTCTCGCTCTAGCAAATTTCAGGATCCTTACCCAACGAATACGTAAGGTATAAGGGTGTTCCAAGTGAGACACACTGTATATCTTCTCTTCCTATCCTCCCTATATACACATTGGTACGCACGAGATTTCACGAACATTATTCCTTTTTGTGTATTCCAAAAGATACAAAATCCGTTCCTGCTGAATTTAGTTTGAGCACGGGAAGAGGGAATCATCTTATCTCTTATTTCAACAAGTCTGAAACGTTCCAGGACAATCTAAATATACCCCGAACGCAAAAATAGTTCATCTCTGATATATGAGCGTATATTAAAATAGTATAAGGTGACCAGATGTTTGTGTTTACCCTTGTAAGTGGAGGCATGAACGAAAACTTCAGAGTGGGTACTTGCACATGTTACAGAAACGCGTGTGTCCACTTTTTTTTCTTGGTTGCACGTTTTCCAAATATTCGAAATAGATGGTATAGTCACAAGTTATGCCATGTTGTTAGCAAAACATGGCACCTGAATGAGAACAAAATATTTGTAAACTTCGCTATGATGAAGTTAATGCCTATTGAGTATTGTCCGAGGTATTGATTTAACATTGTGTGTTCCCAATTCCTTCGCCAAAATTGTTCAAATCTATGTCGGGGATACTAAGAACTTCAAGGAACTATGCAGAAGCAGAAGGTACTTCCATAATTTATCATTGATGGAGTTGGTAACTAGGATCTCAATTGCATTGAAGAAATTTTGTGCAGGCGTTTGTTATAAAATTTTTTATCAAAATTCTGACAGGATAAAGGAAAATCTCTAAATTATTCAGATTATCAGTGATCTCTTGACCTTCATGTTGAACACCCAAATTCAGTTAGTATAACAGCTTTTTGTATAGAATAAATTCCATTGTACGTTTCCTTGGGCAATGATAATTTTTCCAGTAGTTTGATGTGTGTACAATCAACCTACGGCGATTGCGAATTAACAAATCATATTCGCATAATACGTGCTTCGCAGTTTGATTTGCGTTGCTGCAAATATAATTTCTCGGGTTCGTCAGTAATTTTGGGGTCAAAGTGGAACAGTCGTGCCTATTAATATAAAGGCATCATCTCTTTTTTCTGTAAGCAATTCGAGAAAACCTTTCAAAATTTTCGGATAATACTTCATCAGATTTTTTTCCTGATTATCATGTTCAGTTTACTTCAACGAACTGAGGTGAATCGAACATATAGAACGTCCACAAACTTTTTTCTGGCGAAAAATAACAAATAAATAGATTTTTGGATGTATGACAAATTGATATTCATCATACAGGACGTGGAAAAAAATTCTGAATTGAGAAAACCTAATCACGAATCTGCGATTAAAGGTCTATAAAAATAACAAGATTCCATCGGTCAAGTATGAACCCCTTGATTGGGTGAAGGTATTGAAAAGGAATATTCTCAGATAAATTATGAACATAAAATATGGATATATACATATAAAGAAATACATTGAGAATTCGCATTCTCTATATGATGAAAATATCAATTCTTTCTCGGTTTATTCAACAGAAAACAACTACTTTCCTGGCTATATGCCACGACGAACATCGAATTATATCTATTGAACACACACGATAAGGATTTGAAAACAAAAGTTGAGAATTTGCATTCTCCTTCAGATAAAAATATGCATATGCTTATAATATCATTCTGAATATTCAACAGAAAACAACTATTTTCCTGGCTATTTGCCACGTCGAACATTGAATTATATCTGTTGAACATCCAAAAGGAGAGCATGAAAAATAAAAATCTTCTGAAATTGAGAATTTACATTCTCTCTCAATACTGAACATATTGGTAAGTTTTATTTTTATAAAATTATATAATACATCATATTATTTAACAGATAAAACGCTTCTCTATGATTTCCAATGCTGTCTTCTTAGTTGTGAAGGACTATATTAGTGGACGAGAACAATTATCAATCAACGAAAATATCGAAAATTATCGATAATTATTATTGATATTATCGATATTATCGATGAATCTATATTATTGATAACTCGATAAATTTTCACTTATAATATCACGAGAGCTTCAATTATTTCCGGAAATTTTTTCGAGAACACGAATATTTTGAAAATTCGAAGACGAGGGAGAATTTTCTAAATATGTGTTCGAGTAAAAATTCCCGGATATTAATTGAAGCTAAAGTGGTATTCGAGAAGAAAATTTCCCACTGAAATATTATTGAAAACTTACTTGGATAATGACGATTTTTGATGGTTTTGACAATTGAATAGTAGGCTTTGTATATGTTAACTCAAAAGAATAATATATTTTTTTATTTACTTATGTCATTCTTCATGTCAAAACTGAAGAGTAGGTATAATATCATAGTGTTTATATGAAAATGATTGTTGTTTGTGATGGAGTGTAAGAACTAACGTATAGTAACATGTTTTTTTTTGTAAATTTCGAATTTGTAAGTATACCTACATAATATTATATGGTAAACTGTTGATAAATGATTTTCATTTATTGACTTATAGAATGAACTAGAAATGATCTGAAGTTGAATGTGAATGTCATTAAACCTATAAACGTCAAAAAATTTCCAGTGTTATTTCATGCTCCGTCCTCCAATTAGGAGGAAAAAGTTTCCAAGATACGATATACAGGCTTTAAATCGATCGAAAATGTTTGGTGTGAAATTTTCATCTGAATTATCATCGATATTGTCGATAATTATCGAAAATATCGATATAACAAACCCTATATAGGATAGAAACAATGTGAACAATATATGTGAAAACTCTAGCACCTGAATGAATTTCGAATATTTCGATTCCATTCGATTCCGTCATTGTTTCAGGCAAATCCCCGTACTTCCCCGGACTGGACGAGCAGCCGGGCGGGCCGGTCCTGCTCGAGGAGCCCGCCCATCTCTCCGACTCTGCCCTCGGTGCGCAGCCGCTCGGATCTCCGTCGCGCTCCTCGCCCCACTCGCAGGGCAGCGAGGGCGGCGAGCGCTTCTCGCGAAAGGTGTTCGTGGGCGGCCTGCCGCCCGACATCGACGAGGACGAGATCACGGTCAGCTTCAGGCGGTTCGGGCCGCTGGTTGTCGATTGGCCGCACAAGGCCGAGAGCAAGTCGTACTTTCCGCCCAAGGGGTACGCCTTCTTGCTGTTCCAGGTGAGAAAGAAGATCACACCCTCAGACATTTATGAATCGATTAGAATCATTGGAAAGTATACGCCAACAATCCTCAACGCCAAAAACAGGGATAAATGATTGAAATCACGAATGGTGGGGATAACTCTGCGGAAGCATTGTTCGATCCTGTATAATAATAAAGTCGTCAGCATTCTTTGAGAACTAAAATTTAGGCTAACACTCCGGAACATTAAACTACCATTTGTTCGATATTTCACATCAATCGGACGGGAATTTTAAAAGTTAGATGGCGATCAAATTTGCTGGTCGTCGACTGGCCGTTCAAGGCCGAGTGCATGTTATACCGTCCGCCAAAGGGGTAGGCCTTCTCGCTGTTCTAGGTGAGAGAAAAGATCGCACCCTCAGACACCAACAATCCTGAACGCCAAAAACAGGGAATAAAATCACGAATGGTGGGGATAACCCTGCGGAAGCATTTGTTTGTCCCTGTATAATAATCAAGTCGTCAGCATTTCTTGAGAACTAAAATTCAGGCTAACACTCCGGAACATTAATCTACCATTTGCTCGAAATTTCACCAAAATAAGACGAGAATTGAAAAAGTTACATGGCGATCGAATTCGGACCGCTGGTCGTTGACTGGCCGTCCAATGCCGAGAGGAAGTCATCCTTTCCGCACAAGATGTAGGCCTTCTTACTGTTCCAGGTGAGAAAGAAAGTCATTCCCTCAAACATTCATGAATCATTGGAAAGTATACGCCAACAATCCTCAACGCCAAAAACAGGGATAAATGATTGAAATCACGAATGGTGGGGATAATCCTGCGGAAGCATTTGTTTGTCCCTGTATAATAATCAAGTCGTCAGCATTTCTTGAGAACTAAAATTCAGGCTAACACTCCGGAACATTAATCTACCATTTGCTCGAAATTTCACCAAAATAAGACGAGAATTGAAAAAGTTACATGGCGATCGAATTCGGACCGCTGGTCGTTGACTGGCCGTCCAATGCCGAGAGGAAGTCATCCCTTCCGCACAAGGGGTAGGCCTTCTTACTGTTCCAGGTGAGAAAGAAAGTCATTCCCTCAAACATTCATGAATCATTGGAAAGTATACGCCAACAATCCTCAACGCCAAAAACAGGGATAAATGATTGAAATCACGAATGGTGGGGATAACTCTTCGGAAGCATTGTTCGATCCTGTATAATAATAAGGTCGTCAGCATTCTTTGAGAACTAAAATTTAGGCTAACACTCCGGAACATTAAACTATATACCATTTGTTCGATATTTCACATCAATCGGACGGGAATTTTAAAAGTTAGATGGCGATCAAATTTGCTGGTCGTCGACTGGCCGTTCAAGGCCGAGTGCATGTTATAGTGTCCGCCAAAGGGGTAGGCCTTCTCGCTGTTCTAGGTGAGAGAAAAGATCGCACCCTCAGACACCAACAATCCTAAACGCCTAAAACAGGGATAAATGAATAAAATCACGAATGGTGGGGATAACCCTGCGGAAGCATTTGTTTGTCCCTGTATAATAATCAAGTCGTCAGCATTTCTTGAGAACTAAAATTCAGGCTAACACTCCGGAACATTAATCTACCATTTGCTCGAAATTTCACCAAAATCGGACGAGAATTGAAAAAGTTACATGGCGATCAAATTCGGGTTGCAGTTCGTCGACTGGCCGTCCAAGGCCGAGAGCAAGTCGTACTTTCCGCCCAAGGGGTACGCCTCTTCTTGCTGTTCCAGGTGAGAAAGAAGATCACACCCTCAGACATTCATGAATCAATAATCGTTGGAAAGTGAACGCCAAAAATCCTCAACGCCAAAAACAGGGATACATGAATGAAATAGCGAAAGCAATTGTTTGTTCCTGTATAATAATTGAGTCATCAGCATTTCTTGAGAACTAAATTATCTAAATTATCACCAAATGTGAGAGCATCTGAATGATATTATACTAGTTTTACATATATTGAACGACAGAAAATTGGCGTCACACCAATCTTTCATCTTTTTCAAATCAGATGATATCATTTGATGCAGATCTCGAGGATTCCTACTGTTCCATAATAAAGTAGTATATAGTTATATTAATTTTCGTTGATATACAATGAAAAAAGTACAGGTCCCAACACAGATCCCTGTGGAACACCATAATCAATATTTCTCTTTTTGGATAGTTCTGTCGTTTTCACCACTTTATTTCTTCCTGATAAATATGATTCGAACCATCTGTTGTCATTCCTCTGCATCCATACTGATGAAGCTTTCTCAGCAGTATTCCATATAATAATGGGCTCACTCGTAGGACACCCACTATATGCCATGTATTATCAGAAAGCAAAACAATCAATACAGTCAAATGGTCTAAGAGAAAGTTGGTAGGTACCTATAGTACAATTGATGGAAAACATTGGCTGTCGACATGATATGTGATATGCACGTCTGATTCTGATCGCTGATGGGATAGCACCGAAAGTTTATCAACCCCTTCTAAAAGCAACCCCGGTCACGTGAGTGAGTGAGCCCTTCATATAACCACAGATTAACAAACATATAACTTTTCATACGTCACTCTAGCACAGCGCAGCACTTCACTATTTACCATAGGCGCCGCAAAATTGAAATTGCAAGGAAGCAAAAATCCGCAATAAAATATTGATTATACAGTGAGGAACAAAAGTCCATCCCCGTCCCCCTCCGTAACGTTTTTTTACATTACAAAAAATGAAAGCTTTTGAAAGGTTAGGAAAGGAAAGTATATTCTGTTACATTTGTAATGGTTTCCTCACTGCGAGCTGGTCCAAAAATATACGAAATAATAATCAACAAGTGATCATAATTTGAAAATTATTAACTTTTGTGATATCTGAAACAATTAATCAAACTTGTTCGAAATTTAACGTATAGAATCTATTTATGCTATATGCTCATTAAAAAAATAATTTCTGAGTCGCTGCACTTTTTGGGGCACTGTGTTAATGAAACTAAAACCATTGAATATATCGAATGAAACCGTACAACTTATTCATTCATTTTTTTTTCTGATACGTAAAATAAAGATGAGGGGGCGACGAAGTTTTGGTCCTCACTGTACAAGGTGTCCCACTAAGGTCAGCGAGGTAAGATATTATGGATGCCATAAACCTTACAGCTTCGGGAAAAAATCTATTGACGAAAACGACGATGAGAAATTGATTCAAAACATTTTCAAGTTCCTAAAATGACCGGTAGGGGTCGAAGTTACTATGATACAACGAGAAATTCAAACTATCTCAGAAAATTGGTATGTGCGGTACTTTTTTGAAAACAGAGATGGAAAGATCATCAATTTTTCGTCGGGTTGGTGTCCAGACTTGTTTTCGCTTCTTGAATAATAATGGTGGGGGAATAAGCTTGTCAACAAAATAGTTTTGAAATTGCTGTATCCTCCTTACCCCTTATATCCAAATTCAATCAACTTGGGCTTGTCTGGAAGATTATTCACACTTATATTCGACTGACTTTGTTTACTGTCGCTAGTTCATTCCTCGTCTAATAGAGGGCGTCGTTTACCGACTATTCGATCTTTTCGGATTTTCTCGAAAAATTCAAATGGAATGACACAACGATAAATTAATGGACTTTTCATTTCCGTTAAAATTACCTTACACAGCGATTGGGACACCCTGTATATATGTGAAACCCAGGAGAAAAACCACTGTACGGTTGGAACTCAATTGAATTTATCTGAATTCTTGCTGAAACGCCTCATATACAGTTCCTGAAAATACGACCTACTTATTCAGTAGTTATCTATTTTATTATGTAATTAAAGTAAACAGTGTAAAATGAGATGACATGAAGTTATTTTGATAACAATTTCCAATTTAAGCGTAATGAAAATTAAATATATTCTTGGATTAGGTACTCAACTACTCCTGCAAACCTTTTAAATAGGTTGGGGTGGTGAAATAATAAAACGAGCATGCCTATTAAAAGCAAAATCGTTCGCGGAGTTTTTTCCAGTTGAATGCAAAAGGGCTTTCTGTAATTTTACTCATTGAAAAAGAACCCTTTCCTTGTTGTCGACGTTTATGACTATACCAGATTCCAGTATGGGAGAGAGAGAGAGAAATAATGTTCTTTGCGGGAGTATATACCTACTTATCGATCGTGAATGAAGGAAGACCGTTGCAACATTATGGCATTATCTCAAGATTTCACCGAAAAATCCTGGTATACACAGGTTGCACAAAAAATATATCAAAACTTATTATTATCAGCAGCAGAATCACCTCTATTTTTATGAATCTATCTCTATTTTGTGTAAAATAAATGTCATATTCTCCTCTCTTCTGAAACTCACATCGATAAACTTTTCTGTTATGGAATTGGGCACCTAGTATTTCATTCAATATTTTGTGATAGGTCATCGTTTCATGAATATTTATACTATATCGTTTTGGTGGGAATCCCCATTGATACGTAAACGATTGATAAGGTATGTGGTCAGGAAGTTCATTTATAAACCATGACATGGAAAAATCTCTCATAGGTCATTTCATTCTATCTTTCTGATTATTCAAATAACATGAAAAAATCTCCTATCTGTCAGAATTTTTTTTCGAACAAATCAGTAGCTTATATACATATACTCGCACACACTGTATATTCATATGACTTGGTTTTGGTGTAGAGCTCTGCAATGATTAAGTGAATTTCAGCAGTAGCAACTTCATTGTTCGTATTTTATATTTGATATTGATTCGCCATAGCCAATACTTCACGTGGTTAGATATGTGTTTATTTCAAAAATATGCTGCTATAATTTTCTCTTGATTACTGAACCAATATACTTACCTATATCTAAATTGGATTTTTCGGAGTTTCCTGCCGTTCTACTAATGAGACTATAATGGCAACTTGATTCCTCGAAAATCATATGTCATAAGTTGAAATTAGAGATTAAATTTCAATTTGGTATTTGACCATCCTTGGTCTATATACAGGGTGTGTCATAATATATGCGCAGGACTTCAGGACGTGAAAGCTCGTTCAAAAATATGAAAAAAAGTTTTTATTACCTTACCCTCTGAAATGTACCATTTTCGAGATACAGGGTGTTGAAATTTTGAATTTTGAAAAAAAAATTTTTTTGCGAATATCCCGAGGAATATCTCTATAACCGTTTATGGCACAGGAAACAGCATTTTTAGAGGGTAAGTTAAAAGGAACTTTCATATTTTTGGACGAAACACCCTGTAAATCAGTCAATGAATCTCAACTTGGAGTTGAATCTTGTATTCATGGTCGAACAGATAACGTGCTAGGGCCATTAATTAATTTATGTGAAAACAAAAAAAATATCATTCTTGGTTCACTGTAAATTCCATAACATCCTCAATGGAACTTTTTGATTACGTTACAGCATATTGCATTTTTTCCAGGATGAAAACTCTGTACAAAGTTTGATAGATGCTTGTATAACGGATGAAGATAAATTGTATTTATGTGTGTCGTCGCCAACAATCAAAGATAAACCTGTACAAATCCGGCCGTGGAGATTATCAGATGCAGACTTCGTGCTGGACGCATCGATGCCTCTGGATCCAAGGAAAACTGTATTCGTTGGAGGAGTGCCACGACCTCTCAAAGCTGGTAAGAAAGAAAAAACACATTTTTTCCTCTGAGGAGGTAGTAACGAAGTACTGGTAAAGATTCTTGACGTACCAACATCGGTATTTTTGAAAATGGCAAAATATCGTAACGGTATAAATGGCTCCCGAGAAGACACCAAGCTTAAAAACCCACTTTGAAACAATTATTTCAACGAGACGAAGAGTAAATAAGAATGCAAGATTACATAATCTATTCAAAGATTTAATGCTTCAAGGCAGCAATTTTTGAATAGATTTCATACGTCCTGTGAACATGGGAGAAAAACATCTAGGCAACAGGCTGCCTGTTCCGCATTTATTCCTCATGAAGCATGGGAGTGTTATTCTATTAAAAAACATAACAAATATTTTATTCTATGAACAAGAAATTAATAAGTTCCTTTACTTACCCATATCGACATTTCTGAAAATGGCCCCCGAGCAGGGACCAAGTTCGTACCCTGCCTTTTTAAATCAACTCTCTTCGTCGACTTCTAGTCGAACTGGCAATGATAATGGGCCGGCTGTACGGCGACCATGAAAATCCTGAGCAGAAAGCAAGACAAGCATTCTCGCCTAGGCTTAGATATTCGAGATCTAGGATTGTCTTTCTTCATTTATGTTTATTTATCACGTTATAACATATACTTCAATTGAAGGAATAAATAATCTTGAATCTTGATCTTGAAACAATGAATGTCCCCCGAACTAGGGGACCAAGTTCATGCCATGGAAGCTCATTTTGGAACAATTCTCTCAACGAGATAGAGAGTCAATAAGAATCAATAAGTTTCTTGAGGTACCTGCATCGACATTTCTGAAAATGGCAGAAAAAATATATCGTAACGGAATAAATGGCCCCCGAGCAGGCACCAAGTTAATTTCATGAAACCCCACCTTGAAAATCTTGAGACCGAACCTTTTTGGGACATTTCTCCCAACGGGATGAGAGTCAATAAAATTCAATACGTTTCTTGAGGTACCTATATCGACATTTCTGAAAATTGCAAAATATATCGTGACGGAACAAAGGACACCCGAGCAGGGACCAAGTTTATGCCATGAAACACCACTTTGAAACAATTCTCTCCATTTATTCTCAGTCGAACTGGCGATGATGATGAACCTGGCACCCTAGCAGGGACCAATAAGTTAATGCCATGAAAACCCACCTTGAGAAAATTCTCTTCTTTCCTTTCTATTTGAACAGGCGATGATAATGGATCGGCTGTATATATGTTCTGAAAGCGACAAAATATTGTGACGCAACAAATGGCCCCCGAGCAAGGGCCCCAGTTTTTGTCATGGAACCCCACTATGGAACAATTCTCTTCTTTTTTTTCCAATCGAATTTGCGATGATAATGGACCGGCTGTGTGTTCTGAAAACGACAAAATATCGTGACGCAATAAATGGCGCCCGAGCAGGGACAAATTTTACACATTCCATTTCTTCTTTTTCAGTCGAACTGGCCATGATAATGGACCGGCTGTACGGTGGCGTGTGCTACGCCGGCATCGACACCGACCCGGAGTTGAAGTACCCGAAGGGCGCCGGCCGCGTGGCGTTCAGCAACCAGCAGAGCTACATAGCTGCGATCAGCGCCAGGTTCGTGCAGCTGCAGCACGGCGACATCGACAAGCGCGTCGAGGTGAAGCCGTACGTGCTGGACGACCAGATGTGCGACGAGTGCCAGGGCCAGAGGTGCGGCGGCAAGTTCGCGCCGTTCTTCTGCGCCAACGTCACTTGTTTACAGGTCAGTTCAAGGTCACGTGGTTTTTTTTTTCATTTGATTTTTTCGAGTACCATGGAAGCGGAACTGTTCGATTTAGGTCAATTTGAGCGTTTTGGGAGTGAGTACACGCCGTTTTTCTGCGCCAACGTCACTCGTTTACAAGTCAGTTCAAGATCACATTGCTTTTTTTTTTATCGCACGGAAGCGAATAATTTTCCTATTTGAGCCAATTTTAAGGTTTTGGGAGCGTGTTCACGCAGTTCTTATGAGCCAACGTCACTTGTTTAGGGTTCAGTTCAAGGTCACGTTGTTTTTTTAAAATTTGATTTATTCGAGTATTATGGAAGCGAAACTGTTCGATTTAAGTCAATTGCTGGGTTTTGGGAGCGTGTTCACGCCGTTCTTCTAGGCCAACGTCACTTGTCCACACCACAGGTCAGTTCAAGGTCACATTGTTTTTTTTTTAAATTTTTTTCATGTACCACGGAAACGAAACTGTTCGATTTGAGTCAATTTCAGGGTTTTGGGAGCTAGTACACGCCCTTATTCTGCGCCAACGTCAGTTGTTTGTAGGTCAGTCCAAGGTCAAATTATGTTTTTTTAATTTAAATTTTTTTTTGTATTGCACGAAAGTGGAACTTATTCGATTTGAGACAATTTCAACGTTTTGAGAGCGAATTTGCACCGTTCTTCGCCAACGTCACTTGTTTACAGGTCAGTTCAAGTAAGTATATTCTGTTTTTTTTTGCATTTGATTCTTTCGAGTACCACGGAAGGGAAACTGATCGATTTAGGTCAATTTCAGGGTTTTGGGAGCGACTTCGCTCCGTTCTTCTGCATCAAAGTCACTTGTTTACAGGTCAGTTCAAGGTCACGTTGCTTTTTCCCTTTTTTTTTTCGAGTACTACGGAAGCGAAACTTTGAGATTTTAGTGAATTTCAGAGTTTCGAAAGCGAGTTCACGCCGTTCTTCGTCTTCTTTACGATAATGTGTCATATACATGGAACCTTTCCTATACAAATTCTATTGATCAGCCAAGTTGAGGGAAGGGAAATGGCATAGGACAGTTGAGTGATCGGATAAAAAGGTGTCCCCCATGAATTGAAAATCGACCCATTTCAGTGTTTTTTTCATAAAAACATTCTCCTGCAAATTGTTTTAGTTTCATATAATGTAAAATTAGCCCTTCTACGAACAAGATGAGTTTGGCAGGAAGTTGTTCTACGCGGATCTCTAGAAAGTCGTCGAAGTGATATGTACCAGAGCTGTTTTTTGTTGCAAGTCATGTATCACATGCCTTATTGTTCAATATTTACAGCCTGCCTTTCAATAACAATTTTCATGACGTAGGTTGTTGATTACATAAATGAAAGTATTGGTAAAGAAACAGAGTGGAACTTCATCATTTTCTCGAGATGAGTATATCAAAATTCTTATCTGACGCAAAATCCATAATAATTCCAAATTTAGTGTTTTTCAAGAAGGATAATGGACCTGACACTTGACTCACAGATTTTTCTGTATTTTTGCGAAAATTGGCTGAGGTTTTGATTCCTTAGCGGAGCGGATGTGCGCCTATTGACACTCGTGGTGGAAAAGGCGTCCGGAATAGAGATCGTTCACCTGAGTTGCGCGGATGTGTCTCAATTTGTCAATCGATTCTCCCACAAAATCGAAATCCTTTCGATTGCTGCCAACTGGGCGGGTAACTGATTAAATTAAAATAATCTCCCAAACTCCCATCTTTTCCTTCAATACTCGACACTGGAACTATATAAAAAACAATCGTCGGAAATATGATAACTAACCAAAAAAACATGGTGGTTGGCGTGGATTTCATAATCTGGCCGCCTAACCTTATCGAACAAATAAAAAAAGGAATAATAAAATCATACTTGGTGATGGATCGATACCACATCAAAAACATTCTTCAACTCAACTCCTATCCGAAAAACTTCATCGATAAAGCGATCCACCAAATTGAAAGCAAACAAAATTCACCAGAACAAACAAAACATCCATAACAACAAATACGTACGACTACACCATACATTCCCGACTTATTTGGAAAAATGAAACGTGTTGGTGCATGATCGATAAGTGAAACTGTGAACAGAACTGAAAATTATAGAACAATATCTACTCTTATACAATAACTAACAAATTTTTCTGACAACTTATGTCACTGAGAAGTTTCAAAATGAAAAACGAAGAGATCGAGCTCAAGAATTTTTTTCCTTTTTTGTGTTGGAGCAGATTCGTTCTCGAGACGTCCAGAGATAAATGAAATTTTATATTTTTCCAATACATCTCTATTAACTTCTTCTTAACCTTCTTCAAACATTCTCCAAACAAGGCGTGTCACTGGCGATATATCGATCTATTTTTTCTCATTTTGGGCCTAATCATCTGATTTCTCCTTAAACATACAGGTATATTGAAATAATACTATTTATATAGAGAGAAAGAAGAGAAAACCCCAAAAATCTAGAAAATTGAATTATTTCTATGTATGACTTAGTTAAGCAAGAATGAAACAAGAACTAAATTTTGGACTACGAATATATATCGTTGATTGATATATTACGCTTACGCTATGGGAAGATACCCAAAAACCTTACAGAGAAAAACTTTGAACTCTTTTCACGGGCAAAACTGTACATTTTGGTATATTAATAAATTGGGTCCAATCAACTTATTTTGGCCCCTCTGTTACATGTGGTAGCTTTGTTATCTCAGCAATTTTGGAACACCGTGCGTGCATGATGCGTGAGAGAATTATTGTTCAATCCTCAACCACCGCGTATCTCAGGAACCATATGAAATTCTCTTCACATGAGGAATGACCGCTTGAATTTTCGCACGTACTCAAGAAACGCCCTGTATATCATGAGATAGTCCGTGAAATTCCAAACAATAATAAATCATCACACATCACACCGAAATCTGGACGACATATCATATGGAATGTAGATCAAATAAACTCGGCAACGCGTCACGCAAATTATCATAAATCGTAAAACACCTCGCTAATATATACGAGGGTAAATCAGTTAATCGTGTTCTACCGGTTTAACGGTCTGCAGACGTGACAGGATTCGGCAAAGAGTTGATACGTCACAGCCGACGTCACCATCATAACCTTATATAGGTATAATCAACTCTATAAATATTTTCAATGTTGAATTGAAATTATTATTCTCTACAGAGTTATTCACTTTGAATGTTGAACCCCGTCCCTTAAAAGTGTTTTATTGCTAGAGCTATATTGACAAGTCTTGAATATTCATCAACTACTTCTATTTTCATTGAACACTATAACAATACCTCCTACTGAAAACAAATACCCTAACTACTAGAGATGCATATTATCAAGTACTTACATTAACCCATTTCATGTCACTTCATTGATAACAGCGATGCTGATCAGATCATAAATGAGATGAGATCGAGCATATTATCTAATAGGTACGCGAAGATATCGTGGCGCCTTCTTCCCGCTTCCATCTCTATTTCACTGGCACTCCATACGAAATACGAAGTCAGCCGCCTTGATTTGTTCGCTTGCTGTCTAGTTGAATCCCATAAAGGAGCCGATAGACTTGCTTTGTTGGCTGGCTATTTTGTTCGTCGAACAAGTATGTTCGAACAAAAATGATGCAAAACCGAAGTGTGTGGTGTGTGGCTAGCAAAAATGACCATTTTGCAGCCACACACCGAAAATAGCCCGCCAAAAACGCAGTCTATCGGCTCCTTTATGGGATTCAACTAGACAGCAAGCGAACAAATCAAACAAAGTGCCACTTTTGATCCTAATAAAACAATCTACTATTATTCTTGATGACCTCTAGTACATCCTTTTTAGTTAACTTTAGCTCCTAGGAACTAAAGTTCAACTTTAACCACTAGGAACTAAATGTGTTGCCTAGCAAACATACCTATTTTTGTGTCAGTAATAGAAACGTCAAATCAAGAGCTAATTTTGGTATCGAAATGGACGACTTTTGTGTCGGTTGCAGAAAAAGCTTATTTGATTGATTGATTGAATTGTTACATTCCGTTTCAGTACTACTGCGAGCACTGCTGGGCCACCATCCACTCGCGGCCGGGCCGGGAGTTCCACAAGCCGCTGGTGAAGGAGGGCGCAGACAGGCCTAGGGCCGTGCCGTTTCGCTGGTGTTAACGCAGGCGCGCTCAGCGGGGGCCCGCTCCACCGATTAGCTCATTACCATTCAACCGCCGGTGGGGGGGCGGCACGATCGGGTCTCGTTGACGACGCTGGATAGGGTGATTAGGGATGAGGAGTTGGCCGCGTGATGTAGGGATGGGTCGTGTCATTCGTACGTCGAATGTCAAATGTCATTCATTCAGTTGCATTGGTGCTGCTGTTTAATTAGCTCTTTTCTACCTTGTACGAGAGAGAGAAAAGTTCTCTCCTCTTCTATCTTTCTCTTCAATATGCTACCAACTTGGCCGCATTGAAATATAGAGATGTCCGATAAATCTTTCCTTGTCTAACCTCTAGTGTGCGCCGCTGAACTATTTTCAATGTTATAATAGGCCTGTTCCTTTGTGCTTGCTCTACCTGCTGAAATTGATTTTTTCTGACTTTCTCTGTTTACATCATGCCATGAACAGAGACAACTATAGAAAAAAAATCAACTTTAGAAAGTTCAGAAACACAAACGAACAGGCCTTATGATATCCTTTCCTTCTGAATAACTAACTGACATATTTCACTTGGACTGCATTCTAACTAATCAAATTCTTTGGAAAGAACACAATAAATTCAGGTTCAGTTCTAGTGAGATATTTCAGTTAGTTCAGATAATAATGATGTGATAAATGTCATTGACTGATAACCTTTCAAATTTGTTGAATGAAATCACTAATTGTATCATACTTGTTTTGACATATTTTGTTAATATCGTGAAATGGTTCCTCCTCAAGGAACTGGTAATGTAGGTAGGTTCTCAATGTAAGAAACACTCTGGCTGGTACACAATACTTATTTATTTTTAGCAATAGAACACAGATCGCCTACTCCGTCGGTAGAGCATGAGACTCTTAATCTCGTGGTCGTGGGTTCGAGCCCCACGTTGGGCGCCACTGAAATGGTTCCTCCTCAAGGAACTGGTAATGCAGGTAGGTTCTCAATGTGAGAAACACTCTGGCTGGTACACACAATACTTATTATTTTATAGCAATAGAACACAGATCGCCTACTCGTAAGTAGAGCACAACTTATTTGTTATTATGACAAATAACAACGTAGATATCAGTATGAATTGGCGGTTGTTTTTGTATTCGATAACACCCGACACGAGCAGTCTCGCGCTGACCCTTCGACTGACTGCCTTTTCTCCTCACCTTTCCCCTCACGTTACCCCACTTCACTTAAGCTGTTGCCAGCTCAACACATTTTGTTCGAAACCGTATCAATCGTTAATTTGACAGTCTGCTGAATTCAAAAATAATTCAGTGGCACACACTGGATGTAAGACAAGGAGAGATTTATCGGACCTTTCTATATTTCAATGCGACAAAGTTGGAAAGAGAAGAAGGAAGATGAAAGAGAAGAGACCTCTCGTCTCTCTGGTTCAATATAGAAGAGAGCTCAATTATTCGTGGATATTTTCAGGAATATGAAGTAATGAGGAGTTTGTGAGGATTTTGAGCGAACTGACCATATTTTCAGAAGTTAGACATTTCGTATTGTGGTTTGGCTACAGAGGTGTCAAATGCCAAATGTGAATAGAGTAGTTGATATAGCCAATGAACTCAATATAAACCTGAGTTCATTGAGTTTAGCGAGAGAGAAGAAAATATCTTCCCCATCTGTCCTTGTCTTCAGTGTTCGAACATAAAATAATGAAAATTTTATATTAGCAACACTGGAAATGAAAAGAAATAGAGAAGAAGACCATTCTAATAACCTTTTTTAAATTGGGGTTAATATGATCTCCTTCTCCATTTTTTGCGATTTCCAATGTTACCAATATAAAATTTCCATTATTTTATGTTGGAACATCGAAGACAAGGACAGATGGGGAAGACTTTTCTCTTTCTCAGCGCTAGCTGAACTGCTCCATTAAATCGGCGCCACTGTCAAAAATATTGTATTTTTATAAGTACAAAAAAATGTGTTGTCAATCAGTGAACCTTTGTTCAAGAACATCTTATTGGACTCCTTCCTTTCTAACTATTTCCAGGTGAAATTTGGTCAATTGAGGTAGGAGTTGTTTTTTAATCACAGTTCTACCATCCCTGGATCATATCTTGGTTCTTTCAAGGTTGGCAGGTCTGTTGATCATTTGTAATCATCAATTTCAGCGGTATATTTTATAGGCCAGTTACTGCTAAATATAATTTATCTTCTAACTGGGAAACTGTTTGCGAAGTGCAAAGATGGCCATTGAAAAAATAACGTTATCAGGTAACGAGAAGAAAAAAATTCAAGAATTTAAATATGGCCTCTTGCAGGAGTTTGTCTCTGATTGAATCATTATTTTCTCCACATATCAACACTGTTTTGGTAAGACTGTCTTGTAAATCCCCGAATTTGCACTTCATGTTTTCTTTTAGGGAAGTGGATGCAGCTGGGTGAATGATATTTTTACAATAGTGTAGAAGCGCCATATGATTTTTTTATAATTGACAGATCCTTGCTTATTTACACTAAAAAGAAGATCCACCTTCATCTTGAATGTTGAAGCCCAATTTTCCTTAGTTCTTGGCTGGTTCGTAGGCGGCGCTAGCTCACTCAGCAAAATATGGCCGAATTTTCTATACTCTCGGGATCTGCTCCAGTCTTTCAATATTTCTGAAGCCAGGAAGATCACTCACTTCGATATTATTCTGACTTTTAAATAACAATATTTCAATCCGGCCCTGATGCGACATTGGTTCTTGCATAAAAACATCTAAAAATAAACTTCGAATATATTCTGCATTACCGATCTCTACCCTTTGCTACTCAACAAAAAGTAGTTCACCTTGTCGCTCATGGATACCGCCACCCACTGGATAGAATTTCAGGCTTCATTGCTCTCATAAGGATAGTTCATCTTGTTAGTGTTGATAACCAAGACAGATAGTAAGTGGGGACTTACAAGATAGTCCAACCAAAACAGTGTTGATTATATGGGGTGAATTAAAACTACCGTAGAGCAAAACTCTAATTACAAGAGAAAAAGTATGATAAAATGACAGTGGAAGAAGCGATTTAAACATGTGTTATCATTGAGTCATCTAAGTTAAGAAGTGACGAAGTGAGTCCAGTTGGATGAATGACATTTGATATATGAATGACATGATATATTTCTATCTATGGTGCCAACTTCTTATGACTAATTACACTACCTAACAAACGCTTAGGCTGACATTTTATAGTAGCAATTATTCAAATTTTGGAAAAGCATGTTCGAGATGATGAATCTGGTACAGGCTTCATCGACGGCTTTGGTGTCTGTGTAAGTTTCAGGGGGCTAATCGACACAAAAAAATGGATATTGTCGGGAAATCTCTATACAGGGTGTTGCGAAATTCGACAGACAACGCTTGTAATTTTATAATAATTACTAAGTAGGGACATTCGCTCTTCAGGTGTTCAGTTCCTGAGATACAGTGTTGAAGTTGAGAAATAAAAATTGCTTTTTCGCAATAAGTGAGAACGGTTGAATATTTTGCATTCAAATTCGGTATATGATGGTTTCATCTTCAAATAGTTAAATTATTGATCAGAAAGACATTTCGGACATTCTATCCAGTTCTGCTCTATAGGAAGTTGTGGTAAGTAAGTTGTCTTCTCACATTTTCTACGCTGCTGATGAAATTTAGATTATTTTCAATTTCTCGAATTCATTTTTCAATTTTGTTGAAAATATACATCATATGTTTAACTGAGCTAACAGTTTTCGATATATACGACCCAAAATATATAAAATTCAACATTTTCAGATATCTCGAAATGAATTCATTTTAGCTCAGTAGGTCATGAGTTTTTCTAATAAAATTGAACAAGGAATTCGAAGATTTTGAAATAAACAGAATTTCATCATTGACGTAGAAAATATCAGTGAAAAAGTTACAATAACCCCCAGTGGCGCGTCACTGGATGGAATGACCGAAGTTACTGTATCGTCAGAAATGAAGGAATTTAAAAAGAAAATCATATACTAAAATTGTCTGAGAAAAATTCAGCCATTATATGAGCTAATTCTAAAAAAACATTCAATTTTTCACCTTCAAAACACCCTGTGTCTCTGAAATTGACCACTTGACGACAGGTTCCTATCTTATTCTGTGAAGTGTTGTTGGGCGAACCTGTAGATTGAAAAAAAGTGGTACCATCCATCATGCACTGTCTGCATTGCTTTTATTGCTGAGTCTTTGTTGAAAGAAATATCACTCCTATATTCATCGGATTATTGCCAGCTGAATGATATCTCATAATTTTCTGTTCCAGTATTTTTACTGAGAACGAACTCAGTGAATTGAAAAAAACAGATGAACTCGCAAGATTAGTGGTGAATTCATACTATATACCATTCTAGTAATTCAAATATCGGTAATTCTGATCGATAAACATTGCATAGGTACATTAAAATTACCGAACCATTACCAATGATTGATGCATAATTCATATTTATATGTCCGATTCCAATCACCAACTTTTACTAATTAATATAATATTATAATCCAGCATACCTGTTGAGCAATTTATTAGTTGTCAGGAAATAATAATTATCACACCTGTTTGCAGATATGGTGTTCCTACTTTTTGTTACAAAAGTACAAAGCTTAGATCACAGGTATAACGGCTGTTCAACTTTTCCCACACATACTGAGAAAAGGTATTGTGTTTTTTCAAATGGGACACCTACTTGAGAATTTGTTTATAGGATGTTCAGTTAAACTTGCAGAATTCTTGCAATTTGGCCACATTTGCACAAGTTGGAAAGTTGATAATAATCGATATACAGGGTCTGTTCGAGAACACCCACAATGAAGTTTTAAAACGCATTCGTTGCATTGTAAGGTTCGCCTTTGTAACGTAAAGAAGATAAGGAAATTGAAATTTTCAATTAAAACATAAATATACTAAGGCGCCATCACTTGGAGACCCAATATCGCGTTTATAATCAACTTTTCAACTGAGCAAAGTGTGGCCAAATCGCAATATATTCACTCAGTTGTCGACTACCAACACATTGTCGAACATTTTTTTATATATGCCCGTTACTCATGGGGAAAGGTCGTAGTTTCTTTGACCTCATTCTATCATATTTGCTTGACCCACTTGTGCCAAAATTTGAAAACGTTAATATAGTACAGGGTCTATAAATCCTATAAAGATTGTAACATTATTCGTTTTCCAACTTTTATAGTATCACTTTAGGCACATGGGAAAAATATTTCAATGGCCACTACACACCCTCTACCATATATAAGACAACTAATTTGAATATCAAAAAACTTCTACAGTTTCCGTCTATATCCTGATAGATATGGGTGGGACACGCTTTTTATAAGTAGGACCAAAAAATAGGAATGTGTGTCTGCATATATCTTGTGCTTGGATGCTGGACATTATTGCTTATTGATATTTTAGTGAACTTTTCTTGAATGTACGATAAAACGATAGTTTGCCATTTCGTATTTCGGCAACCAAATTGCCATCCTCAGTAGTAAACCACGAGAGTAATAAAGGCTGTGGATACTAATCTCGATAGTAATTTATGGAGAATACACTGAGGAGTTGATTTTTATTTACTCTGCAGATCTACTGAGCATGACAACTCAGTTCTCTACCGTCTCCGAAGCTTCATTTTATCGTTTTTTTTCAATTCAGATGATGAGAAACTTAGATTCCTGATGTTTTGTCGATTAGCCCAGAAACATAAATTAAGTCTCCGGATATCATTCAGTCTCGTATGCTACATGTAACCGATTAATATCTTTTTATGGCGCCTGGTGGTGCGACACATTTTCCGCTGTCTCTTCGAATAGGCTGGCCACTCACGATACGGCGTGCTACACTAAGAAAAAAATAACCGACAGATTGAATCTGCAATGCAGCACGGCCTAGTCAGTTACGTTCAGGGTATTGTAAATACTAGTCTAATTTGCTAGCTGCCGCCGGGCAGTGGAAAGGATCGCTCATAGTTTTGACCACTTAGCTCCAAGTACCTGACTACCCTGTATATCCTGCAACATTACTACCCCGCTTTACTCAGCCGAATTCATATTTTGACCTTAGAGGACGCGGTCTGCGATTCGATTGTTTTCTAGCGAAATTTTCTTATGCCTTTTCTACTTGACGAATTTTTTATCGTGCCATCCAATGGTCACTTTTTATACCTATATAAATGATGGAGCAATCTTTGCAGTCGTCATGATTTCAACTAGGAAAAATATGCTCACAAATTTTCAATGGTGTCGCCAATAATTTATTATGCAATTTATTTCTCATCAAGAAAATGATTACTAGTTTTTTCTAATTGAATAGGTAATTCTTTATCAATCAAAATGAATGCATGCAAATTTATGATGAACACTTTCAAAGATTGCATCTTAGATAATCACTGATTGTGTATAAATACTAGCTAAATGTTTGAAACCTCTCAAAAAGTACCAAAGGTTTCTATTTACTGATACTTGGCTGTTTTCCCATTACCTACCTATTTCGTTTCATTAATTTTGAAACAAGTTTTCTGTCTCCTGTTTAAATTGTTTTAAAAAATTATATAATTATTATGGATTATCATTTCATAGCAAATTTCTGTTGAACTTTCCATTGATGTCTCACATGAGACCAAAGGTAAATGATAAACTTATCTTATTAAATACAAATATAAAATATTCATATCAAATCTAGAGATTCTTTAAAGTCTCTATTGATGTAATAGCATGTGCATGTTGGTGTACAGAATTTGATGCATATATCATCTTCGAGTAGGTATTCTGTGGAAGAATGAAGAATGATTACCAAAATGGACATCAAAATTATGTTACAATACTAACAACTTATCTAATTCCATTGACATTACTTATCACACAATATTTAGGTCACAACATTAATTCAGACTAAAAAAATATGTTTGGTAGGAAGTTTTATTTTTCATGGGAAAACAATCTGCAGAAGGATAATTGAAGATCAGTGGAGAAAATGAATAATATTATGGTAAATTCTTTTGAAGAAATACGATATTTATCCTGCAATGGAAAAGCAGTTTGTCGAAATGAATTTTTTTCTATATAATTCAACAGTGGAATATTGCTTTAACTATCATAATATACTGTGATGTGATGCAAATCTAAAGAGCAGTAAAAATATCTTGTTTTAATTGATTCAAGTTAGGATTTATATTATAAATTATTTTTCTATTTTATCTTGTATATAAGTAGGTACCAAAGATGTTGAATGTTTTCTATATTGTTGTTGTGTAAATGTAATTTAAAATTTGCTAGGTAAATGAATTTCTAGGTAATTCAAATTAAAGATGAGGAATATTTGCTCATGTTGATATTCTTGGTTCGGTTCCGAGATGAGAGAAAGAGAAACGGAGAGAGAGAGGGAGAGTGAAAGATAAAGAGCGCGCGCGTAAATTGAAAGAAATCGTAGATCGTGTCTATATTCGGATCTTGACTTGCTTCCTGCTTTTGTGTCCGCTAACCGTTGTCCACATCTCCTCTACATCCTTATTATCTATCATGTGTGATACCGTAAACGTCTTAAATGTATTAAATCAATTGCATGGATATGTATAGTAGTATATATTATATATAGTATCAGCTATTTTAAGACTTTGTATTTTTTAAATTTGAATTTTTATACTAAACTGTTATAAATGGTGATTAGTAAAGTTTGATGTGTGCAATAAGAGTCGGCGAGCCAGCATGTCGATGAGGAAGATTTTTATCTGCAACCACAATTGAGAAATTGAGTAGGTAGGTATATATTGTTTCGTAGGCAATGTGTAAATAGGCCGATAGGCTATCGGAGCGCGAGGCGGGGCTAGACTTGCTCTACCGCTCGGGCAAACCATTTACAACATGGTACAAATAAGTGATGATATGATTTGTAAACATTTACACTCTTTTTCTACTGTTTGTATATTTGCCTGCCTGCCCTGCTTGGGTGAGTGGAAGATATGGTGGGATACCGAAACCGATTTGTATCATATTCTGTAGACCGTTGTCATTTTTATCTATTCATATAACTTTTTATCGATTTTATGAGATTCGGGAATGAGTGATGCCGTTTGCGTATGTGGTACGGCACCGCTCATTCCGGCGTATTTTTAATATATTAGGCTCTGTATTTATTGGAAGTCTTGGAAGTTGTATATTTTTTACTTTTCGTAACACTTTTGACAGGAGCTTTTTTACTCTTAGACTATTTTTCATTGTGAGAGGACCAGGATTGCAGTCAATCAGCGAAATAATGAATAATGATATGATGATGCGGCACTAGCAGCCCATCACTGAATTGATATACCACTATCTTAGTGTGTATACTCACTTCATTTGAGTAGTTACCATTAGTGCAATATATCGGGCTGTGCCTACTGTGGATTCGAGCCCACCTAGGGATAGTCAATATTTTTTAATGTTCTTATAGTTAGCCGATTGATTTTTCGGTTTTTGTCCGTTCTGTCCATTGGCTCTTTGACTAAGCACCTAAGTAGATTTTATTATTTCGTTATTTTTTGTAACTGTGTTTTTGAAAAATATTTAAATTGTTTTTATAATTATTTTATACACTTTTATATGTTTGTTAGTAATTCTGAGGTAAGGTTTGAACAACTTCTTGGGAAGTTCCTCGTTTACTATTTTGTTAGAAGTCAGACTTTTTATGTTTTTTTATAAATATATATGAAATGTCAATTTGTGTTTATTTGATAAACTACTGTTAAAAATCTCTCTATTCTTATTATTTACGAAACTAATAGTGCTTGTGCTGCTTCAGCTCATTTTTTATAGCAAACAAAATGAACACTTGGAAAGATCAATATCAGTGAAAGATAAATACTTCAATAACTAATAAAATTATAATTTCTTTGAATTAAGAATAATAATTGGAAATTATATAAATATCATATGAAACAAGTGAAACTATTGAACAAGTAAGTCACAAATCACCTTTATGGAACTATTAAATTTCCAAAATCAAACAATGGAAATCAACATACACAAAAGGACAATAACATCAACCATATCTTCAAAGATTCAAATTTGATAGCAACTCATTGAGCATAACTGAACCAAAAACGATATTTTCACAGTTAACTGTCAAAGTCATGTTATCACTCTTATGAATAGTGACGAGTACCAAACTGGAAGATGTCACGGTTTGACCAGCAAATCTAAAAACAAAAAGGACACTTTCATCAATACATCTGCTGAATCCATAAGGATTACTTCAATATTTACTTAATTATTGATAATGAGATAGAATGTATCTGCTTGTACAGACTGTCCCCTTATATTTTGAACTCTACCTACAGCTTCAAATATACGAGGTGGAGAAAAACTTCAAACATGAATGTTGTTGAGTTTCATCTGTACTATCTTTTTGCACTCCTTGAATAAACAAATGTGAATCGTTAACACTTGCTGCACTACTAAACTTTTTGCAATATTTTCATAATATAATCTCACTACCCCTTTTTTTCCTTTATGGAATAACCCATTTTTATTGAAAAACAGACAGATGTCAAAAAATGCCTGTTTTGTTTCCATGGCATTACTGTTGTGTCCACAGCCAACTAAATGTTATTGATGGCAACTTTGATTCAATGCTAAGTAAGTGAAAAATGGCTTGATGAAACATTAGCAAACTATATATATATATTTTTGAACAGGAGAGAAATATCTTTCACTAGAGTTGAGAATATACAGGGTGTTCCATTTGAAAAAACAGATAGGACTTTTTTAGTTTATTCAAGGAGTGCCAAAAGATAGTACAGATGAAACCTTACAACTTGAAGTTTTTTCCACCTCGTATAGTTGAAGCTGTATATAGGTGTCAAAATATAAGGGGACACCCTGAACATTCACCGATCACAAAAAAACAAATACTGAGTAGACCAGAAAACCGAGCATAATCCTTGTGAATCTCACCTGAAATAATTAGGTTCAGAGTCGTCCAACGGTCCTAGATTTGTAATTTCCTTAATCCTCCCGACTATATCATCAATGTTTTTAGATAATGGACCAGAATGTTCTCTCATTCCACAAAGCTTTGATTGGTTTTCAATGAAGAGACTTCTCACCATCTTCACTGGTCTGATGAGCTCTCCAACTTGTGGTTTAACACAAACATTGAAATTCCCTGTTGAAATATAAATTATATAGAGGGTTTTTGGCCTGACCGACGGGTAGTTAATGTCACGTGACTGATCACAATAACAAATACGATTGGTGTCGACCGGTCGCTTGTGAACAAAAACGACAAAAACCTTAAAAACCGTTAACTTCACTGCTCAATCGATAATATACCGAAAATTACACATATCCTGATCAGTCATTGAATTCCTCCAGATAGATTCTGTAGATGTGATAATAATTTTGAACTGTCTACCAGATATATTTCGCTCAGATGAATCATACAGTGAGTGATGTAACGCTAATTTTGTTAAATTATAAGCAACTGTAAATACCCTTGCCACTTTTCGAGTAATTGGATTGTTTTGAGGTTATATTTTATATCCATGAACCACATCGACCATCAAAAAGTCGGGCGATGTGGTCTTCGATCGGTCTTCAATAAAAAACGTTACCATTTGGAGATCAGCCGATGCCGTCATCAATGAAAAACCTTGCAGTCAATCAATTATAAACCCTGCAGTCATCAATTAAAAATCCTGCGGTCAAAGATCTGAAGATTTGTCCTCGTTCAAAAAATAAACAGTCCGAAACCATCGGGAGCATGCGCAGTTTCACAGAACTTTCAGCATTCAACATGTTCCGTGGAACTGCGCATGCTTCTAATGGTTTTGGACTATTTATTTTTCGAACGAAAACAAACCAAATAACTCTCTGTTCATAGTCAAACAATGGAACTATTACCGGATGTGGCAAACTTACCAAGGGAAGACACAATTTCGAAGTTAGCAGGTTGGGTGGTATCATTGAAATCAATACCCAAAGTAGCTGGCAGAGAACAGTTTGGAGATAGTTTTGAAATGGATGCAAAATCATGAAGACTCATGCCCACTGCAAGATTCTGAAAAATAATAATAACAATATTGAGCCTCATCAATAGTACAGTGAACATCATGAGTGTTACCTCCTATCTAACTCATTACACTCTTGTTAGGAAAGTCGCCGAAACATGTCGACTTTTAATTTCTATGAAATACATTTTTCTACTAGCATAACTGAAATGGCATTTAGCGTTCGGATATATGTACCACACTAAATGATCGTTTAATCACGGATTGACGATCTGTAATTCATTCAAAGAATTAAACACTTTACCATGGCAACACAATTTCCCAAAACACATTTCCAAGGCAACACAGTTTTTTAAACACACCTTCAGTCATTTATAGTAGGAACTGTCAACTGTCATTTTCGAATTTTATTGCAATCATCGGTGACAATCAGAATTATTCAAAAAATTTCTGTTTGTATCAGAATTAAAAATGAATGCGAAATGTAGACGAAACTCTGTGTGAAAATGAAGCTCTCATCTTTGTGGGCAATCTATTCTATGCTAAGCATGACAATAAAGGTAAAACACAATATTTATGTGAGCAAAAAAGTATGCAAAGTTATCTGCATTCCTATATTCCATTCAGAATATGGATACAAACCTGAGAAATATAAAACTTTGACACCTCAGCAAATCTAAGAGTTTTTATCTACCACAGATGAAATCTTATTCAGGAAGTTTAGTAAACAGTGCCATTTATTTTAATAACAGGTCAGTGTTAGTTTCGTTGCCTTGCTGTTATGATGTTTTCTTATTTTTAAACATCAATAGCTCAACATGTAATGAAGGAAATTCCAAAATTTTTGCATGGTTGAATGGAGAATAGGAACCCCCTTAAAATGAGCTATGCTATTTACATTTTTGGAAATGGTTGCTCCCCTCCAGTGAGGGATGCATTTAAAGGTAAACTATTCATACAAAAATGCTCATTGATTTTTGTGACTAGAGTTAGATAGGGAGGGGGGGGTAAAAATAATGATGCTCATTGCATAGATAATCACACACAAACCACAGATTAACAAACCTTGTTAATCTGTGCACAAACCATATATAAATTAGTATAAGAATAATTATTAACAATGTTCTATATATTTCCATCAAATACATAGTCAATCCAGCTGTTTTCATACCTTTTTTCCGATCCTGATGTCAGTTACATCTTCACTGGAGTTGTTTGTAAACATGACATTAATATTCGTCATACTGGGTGAATACAAATGGGGGCTCCTTGTGAACCTGTATGTGGCAGAAAGTCCTCTACCACTCATGCGATTCAGCAGCTCCACAGGCTTAGTATTCACAAAACTCGGTTGGACGGCTTCTATGGTGGAAGGCAAATCTACAGGGGTAACAGGAGTGAAAAAACCCCCTAGGGAAGGTGTCATTACAGGAACAGCAGTGCCTATTTCGTCAAGATCTAGCAGGAGGTCCAAGTTAGATTTTTTGCTATCAATGGTTGCTGGAGAATCACTTGAATTTGTGGCTTTGGTGTTTGCCAGAGGTTTTGGTTGGGGCTTGATGCTGTTTTTTATTGGGATGGATTCTGCTTCTTCATCAGAAGAGTAGCCTTCACTCTCTTCAGATTCAGATGCCTCTTCTGCACTGGATTTACTAGAAAAAAAATGTTGATTACACATAATTCCCAAAATAAAAATCAAATATGTTGCACCCTGCAGCTTGTACTTGTTTGAAGATATATAACACTTGAGAAACTGTTCAACTTACTCTTCAGTTTCTTCCTCTTCAGACTCATCACTGGACTCTTCTTCCTCTGATTCACTACTACCTTCACTAGAAGAAGTACTGGATTCAGCAGCACTGCTACTATTGGGACTGTTCTCTGATCCCCATGAGAAAGAATCTTTTTTTTTCTTCACCTGGGATAAAATTGATTATTCATACATCATCCAAAGATGTATATTTAAGAGTGAAATGAGAAGTCTCCAATTTTTTGAAAGTCTTCAGATTCACAGCAGATTCTCAAGAGAAGTTCTTGATTTTTCATAAACATGCAAACAATGGTGTTTGCATTCTAAGGAAAATATGTTTTTTTCATACCCTTGATTATTCCGGAGTGATATTGGAAATTGAAAGCTGAATATGAATACATTTTCATGACTTGACAACCAAATGGACCAATATCCATTATATCATCATATCTTAATTAGCTGAGTGTAGATAGAATGTGTATGTGAATATACTTACAGAGTTCTTGTATGATCTTGAGCTGTCATCTGTAACAATTGGCTCCACATTTCTAACATCACCAGGAGGTGCTTGTTCTGGAAATGATGGCAAATCTTCATAACCATTACTTCTTTGTTTAATATAATGTGATAAAGATCCCAACTGCAATTCTTCATTATCTGGAATAAGAAATGGAATGAAGATATTGAGTTCATGGAATAATATATTTTTCAAATACCACACCTGTAAGTTGAATTTTAAGCATTGGAGCTGGCTTAGAGGCTAAAAATATTCTCTTTGCTTGAGATCTGATTTTTCCTTCCTGTGCAGGTACAAATTGTTTGAACAGTCTTGCTTTGTCTCTTATATCATAGTTCTGATCATATTTTGCCAAATTACAGATATACTGACAGAGCAAAGAAGTTTGTTCAGGATTGGTTATGTACAACTTGATTGCAAGGTTCATGACCTGCAGTTTCACTATATCATGCTGAAAATCGAAGTTTATTGAAAATACCCTTCTCAACTCAAAAGCTTACCTCATCTGGAAAAGTTTTGGCCATTTTTCGAAGAACATCTGGTGCTACTTGAGGAACTTTTTGTGAATGTTCTCCTAGAAGCCACAGAATAGCAGCTCTAGCTTGTGCCACAGTTATACTGTCAAGTAGCCTTGCCATATGAGTTATTATTTCTTGGGGATCAGCAGCCTGAGTCTGTAATAGTCTTTTGATAACAACTACACTCTCTGCAACCACAGCCTCTGGAAAAAATTATTATTCATGATTATACCTAGAGAGAAAAGCTATACAAAAAAAATGGTATGTAATGTTTGAAGGGGAAAATATTATGAAACTGAGATGTTCTACCTTTGCAATTGGCTTCATATTCTTCTTTAACATTATCAGGGCGTTTGGAACAACTGAGGAAATGTTCTCTGAGTCTTTCAGCATTCTTATTGAATTCTTTGGAGCAAAACTTACAAGTGAACATGAATTTTCCTTTACCGGCTCTGCCTTTGGATCGTACTTTTTCGAAGTACCCCCAAATCAAACCTAATAGATCTTTTACCATTTTTCAGGATACTATTGTATTTAGCAAGAAATTTAAAATTTCAAATGAGAAATGTCAACCGAATGCGCATGTGTCACTATTGTGTCATTGGTCAAGAAACAACTCCAATGGAACATTGTACTTCTAAACATTTGCATCATGATATACTATGTTCTAAAGCTGGCATAAATTCGTGGGTTATAGCATTTTTTACAGAATTATGATAGGATTATGCCAAATATATTTTATTTATTAGATTTTTGAAATGAATAGGCCAGGGCAGGTTCTACCAACCTTGAAGCCAGAGACAACTGGCGCCCCCTTCCGTTGACGAATACAACTAATGATCATGACGTTTCATGCCTGCCCAAGTACCCAATGCATAACATGATGCACTACTGGATTTCTGAGTTCAGATTTTTGTATCAGTACTTTATAGATCTTATCACATGACTTCATATACCTAATTAATGATTTCAACTAGTGGACAGAATGACACTATTGTAGACAAATAAGTAGTCTCCAGGAAGGGCATCAAATAAATAAATAATGGTAGTGAAGGTGGAAATCCAATTAAAACAATGTAAATGCACCATACTGGAATACAAAGTAATACTGATTTTCAGTCAGCTATAGCAGGGATTTTAGTTCTCTTTTGCACTTCCAGAGTCATTATCATATTGATAAACAATAAATATCAAGAATGGAGTGTGAACCTATTTGCTGAAATACACTTACCATCTCTATTAGATAACAGTGAAACTAGACCACTTAGGCAGGAGTCTGTTACTTCAGAAATGGAACAGGCACATCGTCCTATAGCTTGAATGGTGGCAGCCACAAAATGTTTATCACTGTTAGAAATATAAGTCTGTAGTTCTCTTAATATTACAGACACATTAGCATCAGTAGTCAGATTAGTTAATATCTCCAACTTCAATAACTTTATATTAGTTGGATCAGAAGTCCTAACAAAGAAACTTTTGAGGTAAGGTTCAAACATCCCTTTGTTTTTCACACTTATGGAAGATATTGCATTAAGAATAACACTCTGCACTTCTACATGAGATCTCAAAAATCGAACTAAAGACTTTGCAGCAATCATACTTTCACTTTTAGGAGAGGCATGGTGGTACAATTGAGCTACTGCCATTACTACTGCTGCATTTCTTGATTGAAGCAATGGCCTTGTGGATCTCAAAAGCAATCTATGATCAGGATCAAGGCTGGGTATGTGCTTCTCTGATGCTTCTGAACCAGAATCATAGAATTCACCATTTGAATCATTCATCTGAGCCTAAAATGTCACATTATGAAAGATTGCTCACTGTTATCAGGAACCCTCATTGAGGATCTGGTTTTTCCCTAGTAGTTCATTTTACTGGACCAGTTTTTGGGGTCCTTCAAACTTACATGCAGATTTGGATCTACAAACTGGCTCCTGGCATAACGTGTTAACATCTGAACAATAGTAACTTGACCCCATTCATCAACATCTACTAACAAGGCACACAGTTTTCTGAATACCAGATGAATCAACTCAACTCTATCTGGACAAACTTCTGTGAATGCCATGACTGCTGATCCTATAACAAGCACTGTTTTGTCAGCTAGAAGTTTTTGAATGACAGTCACCAGTTCTGATTTCAACTCTTGGTCCAAACTACAAAGACATTGATAATTATCCCTTGACTATGGTTTTCAACTACCCACCTGTTCAATTTGGGTATAGCATGAGCTGCTGTTTTTCTGACATATGGGGACATATCAGAAGCAGCATCTTTTATGGCCAGCATCACAATTGGTGAAATCATTTTGACTCTTATACTAGATAGGACCCTTAGGGCACCTGCTCTTATAAGTTGGTTGGGTTCCTGGAATAATATATCGTCAAAATCTATGGAAAATGGACTAAAAAACTACCTTCAGTGCTCTTTGAAAAGTTGAAATTGATAACAAAGCTAGATCTTGTTGCTCCTCAGCATAACGTTCTAGATAAACATAAACTAGTTTCTTCACTTCAATGTTTTTTGAAACCACATTTTTCACCACAGCTGGAAATAAAACTGATGCATCACGACCTTTGGCAACCATCTACAAAACATCATCCAAGGAAACATTGAATATAAGAGGAATATTTTCAGCACTAACCCCAATTATTCTTTTCATAGCTTCCAGTTTCAGACTATCTTTATTCGAGTCCAACATTTCTTTGAGATCATCATGTCTGAAAGGCAAATATATTCAATAACCTGGGGCGTCTTGGAAACAATGCAGTGACTCACTTTTTGAAATCCGAATGAAAAAAGCCTCCAGATGCAGGATCAACTGCATATTCAGCGTCAAAACTGGAACCTCTATCATTTGAATATGAACCATTGTTATTTGTATTATTTGATGGGGATGCTAGCATTTCCAAAATATTGCTATGAAGTGCTGAAATAAGTTAATTGAAAAATCTAAAGTAACCCATCAGCCCATCACCCATCAAAACAGTTAGGTTAGATTGGTTCTGAAGTTTAGTTGACAAGAAACAAAAATGGCATGTGGCATAAACACAGAACAATAACAGATCTTAGAACAAAAAGACCCTCTTAATCACAGAACTAGTTATCAAGTGTTATCAGTGATTCCGTGTAGGGCCAGTGAAGAGCGGTAAAAGGAAAATACAAATTTCAAAAGAAAATGTCTCACGTGATGTTGCAAAAATGTTTTATATATTATAATAGACTCGGGTGGAAAATGGGTGTGCATCAGTTGAACATTTTCATTTCAACCAATTCGCATTGGGAGAATCCACTTCACTTCTTACTGATTTAAGATAATCTTCAGATGGACCTATATGTAAGTATTCGCAATTACCTAATGTGACAAAAGTAAAATAAGTTCCAATGTTAATTAATTTGAAAATAATAGGTACTACCTAAACTTGGGAAGAGCTGGTATGCCATTATTAACACATCAATTTTAACAACGACCTGAAAGGATACTGAACATTTTTTGATGTAAACAGAATACCTCAACTCTTGAAAGAATGTTAACAAAAAAAAGGCAAAACAGTTCACAAAAAAAGGTCAATATACCTAGACGCAAATACAGAGTGGATACAGCAACTATATATTCTACATATAAACCAAATAAAAAAAACTGATGGAAGTTCTGCATATAAGTATATCTAAACACGCAAATCATGATCATCCATCTTTGAAAGTTCGCTGTTTTTCTCATGGCAAATCATGATCATCCATCTTTGAAAGTTCGCTGTTTTTCTCATATAGAAGTCGGACACTTCATATCTCTTGATTTTCAGTATATTTTTTGTACTTTTGTACTTGAAATAATAATAATATAATTATCTGCTGTATAAACCCATTCCAAGGCACGTATTTTTGTTGATTATTGAAAACATAAATAATGGGTTATTGATGAGTTTTTTCAGTTGTGAAATGAAACTAAGGTTTGTTTCAAGTACTTATATATATTCTTTATATATTACGATCTACTGGAGTACAGATATTTCAGTTCACATTTCCTAAAAAAACAAAAACTTCAACAAAACATAACGAACATACATACAAAATCCGGGATTAATAAATATATAAGAAAATAATATAACAGTCCATATGATTCATTAGTTATAGCTATATAACAAATAAACATTATGATTATCCTAATGTCATACCGATGCATAGCTTATGATCTCGTCTATCTCCCCAACCTCCATTCCCTTTACGCAGTTTGGTCTTCTTCAGTACAGTGGAGTAGGTCAATATCAAATAATCCGGGTACAAATGTCTTTTTGCAGATTTCAGCACCTGCTGTACTTTGGATATCACTGATGTCGATTTACAATTATTTTTTTTATGATGAACCCCACTGAAATAAAATTAATATTTACATTTATGTACAGACTGCATTTGATGTTCAACAAGTCTTAGCGGCAAGAAATACTGCTATAGCAGTATCAGTTATATGTTTCCTGAAAGACAACATTGCCCCTTGACCCCTGTACAGGAAAAAGCAAATTTTGAGACAATGAATTGAATAAAATGAAGGTACCCAGACGACAGTTTATCAACTTTACTTTTCTGGTCAAATTTAGGGCTCTAACAATTGAAATAGCTCCGTTTCATCTGGGATATTTACAGCAATGGTTTTATTGTACCTAGTGCTACCAGATTATTACCAAAAAGCAGTTGAAAAGTACGCCTCTTCATTGTGTTAAAAAATGTTGTCATTTTGTTGGCACATATTTTCGAGATCGATTTTTCACTATGATGTTAGAGGATACCAAAAAGATTCAAAATCTTACCATTCACCAATGTGAAACACTCTCGGCGCCCTAGCAACCATGGCATGAAGCTTTTGCCTCAAACAGTTTTGAGAAACATGCTGTAAAGACCAGTCCCAATTGTAATCATCATATTTACAGAAATAAGCAGCACAGTCTACAATTTGTGTCCAAGTCGATCGATTAAAAGCCATTCCCATATTATGTTTGCTGCTTACCCAAGGTGAAATTTCTACCTACAGAATAATTTCCCTATCAAAATATATATACAATTTCAAATTCGATGGCTAACCACCACACACCACATAGTGTAAATACCTTTTTGGAATCTGCATAGTAGTTGTATGTCTTCAAATATGTTCCAAGAGACAGAACATTACAATGTCTACAAGATTCCTTGTACGTTCTTTCCATAAGTCTCAACATATGGATGAAATCTTCGCCGACATAGTGATCTTCTTCTAATAATACGATCAGCCCTGTATGATTCCTGGTTACTTCAAGTTGGTTGAAAACACGATTGGCCTTCCACCACCAATGGTGTTTCGTTTGAGTGAACTTTGCTTCACGATAATGCCCATATACGTCAGGATACAGTGCGTTATTACATTTTTTTATTAAAGCCCTGAAAGAATAATCTGTGAAGTACCTGATGCCCACCAATAATGTCCATTTCATGAATTTATTTTCCATTGCTACTGCCCACAAAGATTAGATCATTGTTTACATCATTGAAAGTTACTTTGAATGTTATTAAAATATTTCATTAAATTGCACATTGTTAACTTTTCCCATTTGGAACCACTTTTATTTCTTCATCAATAAGGATCTGAGTTAAATAAAATTCGGGCATCAAATATGATTTTTGGTACTTACTGTTCCTTTTTCATATCTCGAGGACAATCTCCAGGATCTTCCCCCGGAAATTCATTTGGATGTGTTTGTATAGAATATGGATAAAATATTTGTATCACTTTGCAAAAATCAATGCTTTGGACTAGACTGTTCATTTCTTCATCATAATAATCATGTGAAAAGACAAGGAGTGTTTGAGATATACCAGGTGCTTGTGCTAGACTCACTATCAGATGTCGAAGATAAGGGATTCGATCATGAATCTACAAAAAAAAATCTAAGTTCTCTCATTGACTGCTTTAATTGAATATTCACCTGTACAACAATAACTATAGAATCATTTTGAAGTGGTTCGAAATTATTTTCGTTGTGAACCACCTGCTGTAAATTGTATTGTGCAATGCTTCGTTTAATATCTGATATATTAGGTGTACTGGTGTATAAAAGATTATTGTAACTTCCATTAGTCCTTGTATGAGTGGCATTTTTTGGTTTTGATGATAAAAATTTGTGCAGTACAGCTGGAACCATACTTAAAATAGCTGCATTACTATCGTTGATGTCTGAGTATTGTGGAGAAGACCCACTGAAGCTCAGGAAATTCAGTTGAAGCCATATAAAAACGAGTATAAAAATAATCAGGCCAGCTCGAATCCATGATATTCCACTTCTGCGACGCCATATCTGGCTACTTCCACTGCTCATCATACAACATATCCACAGGTGTTGCTACTTAAAAAAAATATTATTGACATTGGGGACAAAAATATGTTTTTCCAATTGGAAACCACTTAGATGGATTATGAAAGAATATATTTTTGTTTCACAGCACAGGTTTGTTATCAAACTAACTGTCTACAAATTGTGTTTATGATAAATAGTGTAAGTAAACTAAAAATAATTAGATGCTTGCAGGATACGATAACAGTACTGGGTGTACAACTGTACAGTGATTAAAAGTGGTGTTCCTAGAAAATGCTCTTCAGAGGGGCCAAGATATAGGGTTAGAAAAATATAATTGTACATCTATAAAATGCGTCTCAGATAGATTTTCTCTGAACCATCAAATACGTTACACATATTCTGCACCTATAAAATGTTGGTACTCATAGTAATAAGGAATAATTGATAAAACCATCATAAATCATCAAACAAAAATAGTGCTGGGTTTATAGATTCAACTGAACTAAGAATTAAACTAACAACTATATGAACTTAAAAAGTTGAATACAAGCCTACAAGGAATCATCCATGAGGGTTTATACATTTACATCAGTCATTTAAGTTAAGAATTGAGAAATACAAAGTTGGCCAACTTTCAACTGAACAACTAAGAATTAGGAAATTCTGGACTTTTGGCCAAAAGTCAGGTTGATGTGTGTGCAAGTCCAAAATCTTCTAATTATCTGATATGGATTGAAATCCAATATTTGAATTGTTTGTTAAAAATATCAGGCTCTTTTATCTCTAATACGCCGGTATAGATGCCTGATGATGACGGATTCATCGGATAAGGAGGCCATACTTGAAGTCAAATGTGCTCCATTATTTCTACACCGGTAACCAGGCCAGATCAGCAAAAGATTTGCTGGATAAGAGGAGAACATATGATCGAATCTTATGAACACTGATGACTCGGCTTCAGGCCATTGTGATAGACAATCGGTGTCTGTGGCGAGTCGAGTGATAATATTATTACATAACCAAGTATTTATTCTTGAAAAAATTAATTACCTGATCTGGAGAAATTGTTACCGAACGGAGACAAAAATCCAGTAAAAAAAAGAGGAAGATTGGATTTGTTACTGTTCAAGTGGAATTTGGTGATAATTAATTGGAATATTTTTTATGGATTCATGAGTTGTGGAGACCAAAATCACTTTTTAACAACATTTTGCTCTTTAATCAAAAGACATTTCACATTTGATTCTCAATTAATATCAGATATGTATAAACATCCTCATGATTGTGAATTGTTGATTGTTAAGTGTTGATTCCTATAATTGTTAGTTCAAATGGTTCAATTGAATCTATAAACCCATCATTAGAGAGGATCCATGATTCATTATTCGATCACTCACAATTTTAATCTACTGTAAAAGTCCATGTTATCTCAGAGTGGAGTGAAGTAGTTAAAAATATAATAAAAACTCTCCAAGTCCTCTCCACAGAAAAAAGCAAAAACAAGGTCATAATGAGCATTTTACTATTTATCCATGCTCATTATAATCCACAATAATTTATTTCTGGCTGATGATGGATACCTTTTGGGTTCGAAACATGCCCCCCACTTATTGAATTTGAAATTAAACGTTGTGGAGACGACTTGGAGAGCTTTCATTATACATTATCACAATGTTATTCTACTTGGTTTAATAGTGGCAAATATTGATAGGTAATGTTGAAATCAATATTGGTTTCCTCATGGACATTAATGAATAAAACATTAGAGATCTATAGGGGGACCCTGGCCACTCTGCTCCTTCCCTTGTCCCCATTGGGATCACCACTAGCAATTCATTAGAAGATTGTAGAATGTAGTGTACATTCAAGAACATATTAATTTCCCAAGTCTTCTTTGACATTTGAATTCTTTATTTTTGAATGATCAATGATTTTGGATGAACGAGAATCAAATGAAGTTGAAATAATTACCTACACTGGAAATCTACTGGAAACTAGTACTAGTACTGGTCATTGTCACATGCATGTTTTCTCTTTCAAATGAAATAGAATTTTGGTCAGTTCATAGACAGTAAGTATTTATATTTAATTTCAACTTATCTTAAGAGTTCAAGCATTCCTTCACTGCCTTCATAGAATCTCATTCAACTTATATTTAATTTAGTCTATTCCATATGGGAAATAGAGCTGTTAAATTAAATTAAATACAAATGAGATTCTAAGAACAGACCATTTGAACATATAATAATATACAGAAGATAATATTCTACCGTATTCTACATTCTACCTATATAAATGAAAACCAATCGAATTTCCTAATGTTTTTGTATGAGTGAGTACTCACATTTTTATGAAAGTGTAGTCTCCATCATCTGTTCGTATTTTCACTCTTCTTCAATCAACATTTTGAAATTATTGTTTATCAGGTGATATTTTATCAAAAATTCATGTTTCAAAACAAAAGAGCCCAAGGTCGATCCATCAAGGCTAGGCCACAGAATTGAGATTATTATTCTATTTATATTTGTTCCATGGTTCCATGTTCTCTTTACTTTTATGTACTTTGACCTCTGACGGGCGACTCTGTGTCTGTGTGTAAATTTGGTTATTTTGTGATTCTGTGACAAAAAACTCAAAGAAGTTGTTTTTTCTTGTTGAACGTTGAACCGTGTTCAAAACGATTTGAAATCAGCAGTTTCTTGGGTAAGATATGACGTCACCAAGGACACCAAGTAATACGATACGGTGGTATGGTTCATTCGGTTCAAGAACTTGTAAATTAACCATTAGTTGATGAACGGTTTGAACCACATAACCACAAACAATGGTAAAGGAGTGAGAAACGTCAAAGTTTGAGGTGTCAATATAGTTTTGCCTGAATATTTTGTCAAGATCAGTTAAAAATCCCACTTGTGATTCCATTACAACTGTTTCTCTCTTTCAAACTTCTCATAGATATCTACTTCTTCACGCATGATACTCATACCGGTTCAAAATCCATCTTGAACACGGTTCAACAAGAAAAAACAACTAGAAACCAACAAAATGTCAAAATGTCATTTTGAAAATGAATTGCCAAGGTGGAAAACAATAAACCTTGAATTTTGACTTTTACCCTTTTCGTATTTATGGTTTTAATTATCCCCGCGATTTACATAAAAAACTGATTTTCATCATTACTTGGATTATAGTTCCTGTTGACTCCATACACTATTTGGCATAAATTCCATTTAGTAGCAAAAATGGTTCAGGTAAGTTCTACTTTACATCTATATTATGAATGATAATTTCTTGTATAGGCCTACTACCATATACAAATTATTTTCCTTCAGGTTGAAGTTTTTAACACCAAAAACAAGAAATTGGGAGATATTAACATAACCAGCAACACAAAGGTGAGAGAAATCAAGACTAATGTAGCTAAAGTAGCTAAGCTCTCAGTAGATCGCCAGTCTATAAGGTCTGAACTGAAAGGAAAAGATATGAAAGATGATTTGACCATTCCAAATTTAGAATCAACCAGGAAAGTGTATGTGAAAGATCTAGGACCACAGATTGGGTGGAACACAGTGTTTCTTCTGGAATATGCTGGCCCATTGGTTATCTATGGTCTAGTGTCCTCCCAGCCATGGATCTTATATGGAAGCAGTACCAAAGATACTTCTTTATCAGTAACAGCAAAGTGAGTAAACAGTGATGGATTATCAGATCTCATATGTGTTTAAGTAGTAATGATCCCCATAGTGATACTTACAAATTGAATTTTCAGAATTGCCCTGGGCTGTTGGTCACTGCACTATATCAAGAGAATACTAGAAACTCTATTTGTCCATCGCTTCTCTCATGGTACAATGCCAATCAGAAACCTATTCAAGAACTGTGGATATTATTGGGGATTCTGTCTCTATGTTGCTTATCATGTCAACCACCCTCTATTCACTGCCCCTTCAGCAATGATGCAAATAATGGGAGTGTCATTATTCACAGTAAGCCATCCTTCATATTCTCTAATATATCACTCTTATATGAGTTCTCATTTTCCAGATTTGTGAAATTGGAAATCTAAGCACACACATTCTACTTAGAAATCTCCGTCCACCTGGTAGCACAGTGAGGAGAATCCCAAGACCAAATGGTTTTCCTTTGACAAAGCTATTTGATTTGGTGTCTTGTCCAAATTATACATATGAAGTTGGTGCTTGGATTGGATTTTCCCTCCTCACTTCATGTATACCAGGTAAATATTTTTGTATAGTTTCATCAGCTTTATTGAATAGGGTCAGTAATGTAATTTCTCAGGAGAAGTTAGGCAAATGCCACAAATCATATGAGTGGGAAATTAGCATTCCATGGCAGTTATACACTATACTTTCTCTACAGCTGTAACAGGTCATCTATTAGACAGCACTGTCATTGCTTGAAATTTGACAATTCATGAGACATGAGATTTTGTGAAATAATAACACAATGGAACACAGTAAAACAAGAGCAATTTTGTGTTGTAGCCATAGAAAAAAGTGTATTTTCTCTGTGTTTCATGCAGGGTGTTTCAGATTTGAATATACATATGATACCTGCAGATAGAGGACACTTTGGTGGTTCCAAATCAACCCCATTGATGTTTCTGTTTCTACTGTCTTTTATTTATCGAGATACAGGATGTTATCTTGATTTAGGCAAAATCTTCATCTGGTCATAATTTTTGAACCACTTTGTATAATCTATTCATACTTGGTAGAAATATTCCACTTATATTACCCATGAAATCTTAATAAAAATCAAGATCAGAATCCAGGACCATCTCAAGGATGTGTGTTGATTTTAAAATGAAAGAATTTTTATGTTTTTCCTTAAGACAGAACTGGATTCTCATCTCGATTTTTATTTATATTTGATGGGTTATATAAATGGAATATTTCTACCATGTTTAAATAGATGATGCAAAGTGGTTCTAAAATTATGACCAGTTGAGATATTTGACAAAATCAAGATAATGTCCTGTATCTCAGATATAATAGAAGTGTCCTATATCTACAGGTATCATATTATGTACAGTTGAATCTGAAATACCCTGATTAATATATTCATTTTTTTTAGCTGCATTATTCACTTTTGCTGGATTCTATCAAATGGCTGTATGGGCTCTTGGGAAACACAGAAACTACAAGAAGGAATTCCCAGATTACCCTAAGCAAAGAAAAGCTATTATTCCATTCATCCTATAATTATTCATTATCATTTATTTGTTACTGAGTTTGTGGTGTTAGAGTTTGTTTTAATACATTTCTTATTTTTTATGTTCTTACTGTTGGTGTTCAATAAAACTTTTTTCCTGAAGTTCACTTTTATTTTTTGCCTGAAATTGCAAATGGAATGTACCATTTCATATTCTGACTGCTAATCTCAGACTAGTATTCTGGTTATTTAAAGACACAACTCTTCATACAGTGAAAAAAATAATCAAGCCCAATCTTATTTTGTTATCCTTTAATAATAGACTTTCATTATATGGAGCAGTAAATAATACTATAAAAATAAATAAATTCCGTCCAGCACCTTTAACAAATTTACATAATATAGTGTGTTGTGTGATTTTCTGATTTATTTTCTATAATATAGCTATTCAAGGTTAGCAAAGTTTCAAGGAAGAATATTTATAATAGTTTGGCACATTATTTACCTATACCTAAAACATTTATTGCAAATGCAAAACTATAAACATCACAGGTTATGAGTCATTTTACATCTATAAAATGGAATGGAATTATATTCAGGGAGAACAATAATAAGGCATAATATCATTCTTTCAAACAAAAAAAATTTGAAGGCAAGGTTGATATACAATAATTATTAATATATCTACTAGCAAATGGACATTGAAAATTTAATTGCAACAACAAACTATTAACTAAATTTTACCTCTGAAGACTTTCATAATTATTCTTCAAGAAATTTGGCCACTCATATTTTGTTTCGATAATATGTATTTTGGTCTGAAGTGAATAATGGTGAAGTGAACAAACCACTCTGTGACTATACCAATAATATCTCTACGACGTTGTATTTGTCAAGATACCTATACCATGAAAATGTTCCAAGTTTCCTCTTCCCGGCGCATTTAGAAGACGAAAAAGAGCAAAAACAAATCGTATTTCCTGAACTGAAATTCTGGGCTATTAGTTGTGCGATTTATACCAAATTTGGACCGGGATCAATTACCATCAATATGATCAGTTTTTCAGAGTCGAACATTATTTTAGACAGTGCCGTGTGTTTTCATTGAAATTAGAACGGAAAACTGATTTCATAATATTTTTCTTCATGGTTTAAAACCACCATGTGTTTTTTGCGAACGTAAATAATTATTTACTCGGAAACTGTGAGTTCAACATAAAATAGTATATCCTGTTTTTTCATTCAAGTCATGATTTTCCACCTAGCAGAGCTATTGAAAGTTCCACAATATCCAGTTAATTTGAATTCACTTTTTCTTCGAGGCTGAAAATGAGACAAATGAAGCCAATCCTGTTAATTCGGAATGAGGTAATTTTCTGCATAATGGAGGTTTGAAAGGAACAATAATATGAAGTAAGTTTTCTTGCAAAAAATCTAACATGAGTTCATATAGAAAATTGACCTCTTTTTATTTCAATAAAACCGCACGGACTATCCAAATTTGGAACGAATCGCAAAAATAATAGCTGAGATATAGAGGGGTGGGGGGTCGTTTAAAGTGAGGCACGCTGTATATATACAGGGTGTTTCTTAATTGAATGTCCATATTTGAGGAGGCGATTCTTGGACCCATTTTAAGAAAACAATTTCATATGAACGTATGATCTGAACTTCCTAACTTTTGATATACAGGGTGGTAAAGTTCTCAAAAATAAATAGTTTTTTATTGATATCTGTAATACCACCTTAGATATTCTAATGAAATCTGGCATACATGTACTATGTATCAAGAGGCATCAGTTAGTGTACCACATATATGAATATGAATCAGTTCAACAGTTATAACTAAATGAGTAGTTTTTGTGTGATGTTTTCTCAAGAACCTGAATATTATGTGATGTTTTGAAACTACAATTTTGATTAGTTTTTTCACCAATAACTTTTGTTCACGCGTTTGATTCAATAATTGATGAATAATGTGTGAAAAGTGACAAAACATGAAGAAAAACTATAAAAAAGTAGATTGTTTCATTTCATTATTTCAATTTCTTATTAGTCTAGTGTTTGAATTGAGATCACCAGGGTTGGTATATTGTCTATTTTGATACCTATAGAGAGTTTCAGGAAATTGTGTAGACTTTTATGCCCATTGTTTTATTCTAATGGTAGGTATTTATCATATTATTTCTCTGTGTAATATGAAAATATGAAGCACAATATGAATACCATCAATACTGTATTACAGTCCTTCAAGTTACCTAAAATTAATACTGTTGCAAAATTCAAAATAAATGATCTAGATATTATTACTGAATGTTGATGTTTTTTTATTCCAGCATTCCTGGAAGAACTCACCCCAATATGGATATTACTGAGGTCACTGGGCTTGAACAGTTTGAAGTAAGTTATAATATACTGTTTCCAGAATCAGAGATTATACACACCAGTGTATAATCTCTGCCAGAATGATGTTTTTGTTATATATTGGACCCAAATTTCAATTTTCCAGAAAGTCATTATTGAAGGTTTTTTTCTGAAATACACTGAAAAAATCAAATAGAATGACATCTCTGTTTTCAAATTAAAATGAAGGTCCATAATTATGTTAGCTCAAATTTTCCCACTCAATCTCAAAACAGGCCATAACAAAAAAACAGACCCAGTTAAGTAAGTGGTGGTAGACCCTACACTCCAGAATGCTATACTAGCAAAAATTGGCCCCAGTGCTCTTGCTAAGGCTCCTAGAGATCGAAAAATACCCATGACTGTACCTTTCTGTTGTTCATTTCCATGTTCAGAAGCCAATGTCATTACACTAGGGACTACCATTGCAGTGGCTAGAACAAAAACTACTTTAAACAGAGTCATATGACTAATATACTGCTGTTCAAACTCAGAATTTACCACATTTATATTCATCACAACAGTGTGCTTATCAGGAAGTTACTTCAATATTTATGTTGCTAAATTGTAACCAGGACAATTTGATCATAGGTATATACTTACAAACGGCAAAAAATAGCAATCCTATATAGAGAAGGATGGGTCCAGATGCAATGCCAACAAAAATAAATGAAGGAATTATCAACCACAATCCTGTTATTGCAGTAGATTTAGTTTTCTCTTGAGAGATCCTTCTTACATAACCACCTTGTATCACAGCCATGACTAAACCTGAAGCATACCTTTCAGTTCATAAATAACCTCACATAGGTACTAAGATTTCATTTACCTATGATAAAGAACATCCACCCTTGTTGCATTGAGTTGTAATTGAAGACATGATGAGTGAGGAATGTCAGTGTGAATTCTAAGCCACTGTATATAAATAAATACACAAAATAGACAACTCCCAAATTCTGCAGTTCTTCCAATCTATTTGAGTCAACACCAGTCACTGCAGTGAATTGAAATAGATCTGTAACATTTATCAAAGCCTTGGAATTTTTGAGAGTAACATTCAAATTGCTATCACGTTTCTCCTGAAATAAGTTGGTCAATATCATGATATGTTATATTTGAAGATATCAAACCTTGGGTAATGATTCTTGGAAGAAAACCATGAAGAAGATCAAATCTGCCACTGACAATAACAATGCAAATAGAGCTGGTATAACAAACCATTCACCAGATCTCTGTTTAGCCCAAACAGCAAAAGCAGCACCTATCAAAGGCCCCACAATGAATCCCAGAGAAAATGCCATACCAACAAATGCCTAAAATTATAAAAATCATATCACCTAATGATACTCAGTTAATTTCTGAATAATACATAAGAACAAGTGATCCCAATGCACATTTAATAGTATCATAGTTAATACCTGCAGGAAATTATTGAATTTTTGTGTTTTTGCCTATGATAAAAAGATAAAAAACAGGAAGAAGTCAAAGTATAATATAAAGTATAGTACCATTCCTTTACCCCTTGTTTTAATTGAAGAGACATCAGTGATGATTGCCATACTCAAGGATACATTTCCCTTGCTGATTCCTCCAAGAAATCTTGCAAATATGAATATGAGCAGATTGGATGAAAGAGCCCAGCATATATAAGATAATGATATGCCAACCTGAAAAGAACATGTCCATATATTTTAATAAGTACAAATTCTATTTCATACTCACCAAACAGCCAATCATAACTTTTTTTCGGCCAATCACATCAGATATACCACCAACTATTGGGGCAGCTATAAATTGTAGAAAGCTGTACATGGAGCCCAGACAACCCCCCAATAATACAGAATTGTATTTCTCTGGGGCACCCACGATAATTTGGAAAGAACGTATTTGACTAGAGAGCCAGTCATAGAGTCCTATGCTGTCGTTTTTTCTGTAATGGTCCATTAGGGTAGGTAGTAGAGGTAGAATCATAGTGAAGGCTAGTAAATCCAATAAAAGCGATATAAAAACAACATATACTGTGAAATGCACTTTTTCCGTTTTAGCCGACATATTGACTAGATACAAAATTTCTTTGAACACTTTCTAATGACTTTCCTAAATATCATTACCCCACTTTCAATGGTATGTGTATGTTATTAGCATTGATGAAATAATTTCATCAATTTATTAGCGTTTACAATATAACTTTGATCATTTGAATTATTCACAGATTTTCATTAATAATAATTTCTAAATAGCAATAATGCTTAACATAAAAAACTTAAAATTCAAATTATAATATAAACATAACCTATATATTTAGTTCATTGCCACAGCATGTCCACAACGTGTCATGTCATTTGTGACGTGGTCTTGTTTTGATGATCATGATCATATAATATGTACTATTTCTATATATGGCGTATCGCATCAACAAAAATGGGACCAAATGACCATAATGAGATGTACTTTTATCTATAAGGACGGAAAGAGCCAAGTTTCGTATTATTTTTTTCCCTACGTCGGCATCAATGCCTATTGCAGTTGTTTACATACAGTTCATGACGGAATATCAATGATCATACAATCCTTAGATCATGTATGATCTAAGATTCCGTCAATTTCGTGGTTTCACAACAAAAGATAAACTAGATAGGACACCCAGTTATCAAGATAGATAAACTAGACAGGACTCAAGCAAGTGCATATCATCCTTTATAATTTTTTTTCAAGTTTGACCAACGTGAAGACAAAACAGACATCTCTACAAAAGTACAAAATGGCATTTTTTATGATCAATCATAATTATTGCAAAATGTGGATGTGTCTGGTGATTTTAACTGGGTTAAATTCACGAAACATTTTTCATCTGTTATCAGAATAAAAAAAAAGATTGGGATTGTTGGAATAACACATTTCCTTTTTTGTTTCCTTTTATTTTCTCTCATTCATAACTGAAATCAATTCAAATAGTGAAAAAATTTAAATAACATAATCCTAGTTATTCTAAGAGCCTAAAAATGTTTCAAGTCCATAATTGCAGTTTTTGAACAAAATAAAATCATTTGAAAAACATTTCAAAAAATAAAATATATATATATATATTCCTTTCTAAAAAATAATATACACATCATATATTGATGTTCTGAATAAAAAATCACAAGGAATCAGAATTTCAGCACAAACAATATTCAGAAATTCCAACAATGGTCACCTATTCAAGATAAGACTTACTGCCTAAGTAAAATAAATAAAAATTTCAACTAATCACAAACTTTCACGCATTCACAATCTCAACAGTGTTCATTCTTCTAAGGAGTAGATAAACAACATCGGTTTCTTCAAGTATTATTGCTAGTTGCCATCGTCACGAACACCTGTTGAAAATCAGCTAATTCCTGTCCTAAGACATCTATCCCCTGGCCGGATCTCATCGGGTCCCCATCTTTCTGAGGTACCGGTGCTTTTTTTTTGTCACCATCCCCGCTATCTGGCCTTCTGACTGCCGCAGAAGTTTTGGTGGGAATGACAGGTTTGTTGGGGGGAATCGGTGGCGGGATGCCTCTGGTGGCGGCACTCTTTTTGGGGGGCGTTTGGGGGGCAGACGGAGACTGGAATTGGGTGTGGAAGTTACCCGCTTTTGGGGGCGTGCGCATTGTTGAGGCCTGCGTTGCACCCTGACTAGTACCGGACTGTGGAGTATTGGCCTGGAATCGCATTTGAAACTACACTCATCGGCAGAAAAACCGGGCAGCGAAAAACTGATCGCCCTGTAACCTTCTTTGGTAATTTTGCACTTATCATGCGATGGTTTTTTTTTTCGAAATTGTTTTTGGTACTTACGTATTTTTGTCTGAAAAACACGAATTTGTAGCAAAAAAAACGGTAAAACTGCATTTAGCATGCGATGGGTTATTTTTCGAAAATTTTTTTTGGTACTTACGTATTTTTGTCTGAAAAACACGAATTTGATAATGAAAATGTGAACAAACCATTATTTATCAAGATATTTCACTATAAAGTTTCAAATTTCACCTTCTTTTCCGCCTGTCTTCTGGATTGAATTTTAAACAATTCACCCTTCTTTTTTCATCATTGGACAATTTATATGTATCACAATGTAAGACACATTTTTTTCTATTATTGAGTCAACTAGAAATATGATTTTCTTGTGATTTATCCATATTTATTGAAAAGAAGGAAGAATATCATTTGAAATAATGGCGTGTGTAATGTCATTCCAATCCAATCTATTGACATTTGACATCTCGTATTTGGATTGCCTATGGATAAAATGGCCGTCATCTGGTATGCTTGCTCACTAAATAGGAAAAACTCACCATAAAAATCATATTTCCTGTTGAATTTTCTGTATAAAAATGTGTCATTGAAGTACATCATGAGTATATAAAGTGTCCAATGACAAAATAAGAAGAGCAAGTACCTGAAAATGCATCCAACGCAAGGGGAAAAAGGAGTCGAAATTTCGAACTTTTTTTTGAAATATCTCGATAAATAGTGGTTTGTTCACATTTTCATTATCAAATTCGTGTTTTTCAGACAAAAATACGTAAGTACCAAAAAAATTTTTCGAAAAAAAACCCATCGCATGCTAAATGCAGTTTTACCAAAAAAACTACTATTTATCGAGATATTTCAAGAGAAAGTTCGAAATTTCGCCCTCTTTTTCCCCTTGTGTTGGATGGGGTTGAGTTGGAAAACAGCTTTCTGCTGATACTCCGCCTATTCACCATTGCAGATAGGTATATAAGGTATGGCAAATTATCGATGTCTTTTGATTTTTATTTGTGCAATTTTTTTTTCTGCAAATGATGAAGAAAGACGATTTATTATTATTATTATTATTTACAGCTACTTGCTCTTCTTATTTTGTCATTGAATACTTCATATACTCATGATATACTTCAATGACACATTTTTATGTGGAAAATTCAACAGGAAATATGATTTTTATGGAGTTTTCCATATTTAGTGAACAAGCATACCAGATGGCGGCCATTTTTAATCAATAGTCAATCCAAATACGAGATGTCAAATGTCAACAGATTTGCTTTTGATTGACATATTACACACGCCATTATTTTAAATTATATTCTTTCTTCTTTTCACTAACTATGGAAAAATCTCAAGAAAATCATATTTCTAGTTGACTCATATAATAAAAAAAATTGTTCATACATTGTGATACATATAAATTGTCCAATGATGGAAAAAGGAGGACAAATTGTTCTACATGCGATCCAGAAAACAGGCCGAAAAGAAGGTAAAATTTGTAACTGTATAGTGAAATATCTTGAGAAATAATGGTTTGTTCACATTTTCATTATCAATTTCGTGTTTTCCAGAAGAAAATACGTATGTACCAAAAAAAAATTTCGAAAAAGAAAAACAACATCGCATGATAAGTGCAAAATTACCCTTTTTTTAATTTGAATTCTTAAAAAAGCGGATGACTTGATCATTATATAGGGAAAAACAAAAGATTACTCTTTCACCCTCAACTTCTTTTTGCTCTGTGGCAAAGATGAGTGATGGTTAAACTTAGCTTCATTATGTTTTGGATTGAAGTGGGGTCCCTTCTTATAGCAGGTGACACTGACTCATAGTATACCTCTTTTTTCACTTTTTGTTTCTAGCTATATTTCTGAAATGTGGAACATCGAATATGCTCACTAGAGGGCACTTTTACCCTTGATTATTACACAAAGCTTTTACACACTTGGAATTATTTTTGTCATATTTCGGTTTTCCTAGAAATGCCATCAACTTTCAATTTTCAAATGGAACACCCTGTATTTTACTCCATAATAGGTTAGCGATTACTATAAGGAATTCAACAATACCCGGTTTGATTGGGTAATTTCAAACGATGACACAGATATTCGCCTTCCAAGTTTCGATAAGCTCAATGAGTGTGGCAAAGAAGTTTCGACATTGTGACGTCATACCCATTCAGCTTATGGAAAATTTGATGGCGAATATATATATGCAAAGAAAGAAGTTTCGATATTGTGACGTCATACCCATTCAGCTTATAGAAAATTTGAATGCGAATATATTCGTAATCGTTTGAAATAAACCAATCAAACCCGGTATTGCTGAATTGGTTATAACAATATCTAACCGATTATGGAATAAAAAACAGGGTGTTTCATTTGAAAATCCAAAGTTGATGTCATTTCCAGGAAAACTGAAAGATAAATGAAGATTAGGTAGTCCCTTAGAAACAAATGCTGTGATAACAAAAACAGAATCTTTGGAGATTTATCAACAAAAATAAAATGTAACTTTTACATAGCGGAAATTGCGCTATTAGCATCTTGCCTCGCCTCAGCCTGGTTCGTGTCAAGACTGTCAAGTATCTACGCATGCGTTTGCTAGTCAATCCCGAAAGCAGGAGATCGGAGCGTATCCCGGAATCTCCGGGATCGAAATTTTGTCGGGACCCCGGGATCAACGGTCTCGGGATTTCGGGATTGCCAACCCTACTTCTTAAAACAATGGTTTTTGATTCACGTCAATATCTTCTATTTTAGTGGAGCTACAAGTGTTTCAAGAAAGTATGGAAATTTTTAATTTCCATCAACAATAATTTAGAACCATTCTCCAACCTTCTGCTTCATCATGTTTTGGATTGAAGTATGATCACAATGATTCTTAATTCACGACCATATCTTCTTTTCAAGAGAAGATACGAGTGTTTTGAGCGTCCAGCCTTGTCAGAGAATCAAGAAGAATTTGGGACAATTCCTCAAGATTTCTTGAGAAGTTTGATCAACTTGATGCCACTGTGGTTGAGTGCTGTGATTCAAGCTCAAGGAGGACATACTCGTTATTGATTACATCTAGGAGGTCTGCTTTTCTTCTGCTCTTAGTAATTAAGATATTTCCTTGCTGGTGAATACTCAAAAAACAGGGTGGAAAAAAGATATATATATTTTTAGATGTTTTTAGTTATAATAAATTGATAAGTTCATGTAAATTCTGCAAATTTGAAAAATCCATACTCTCCTAAAACACTTATATCTTCTCTTCCAAAGAATATATTGACATGAATCAAAAACCATTATATCAAGAAGATAACACCCTTCAATCCAAATCATGATGAAGATAAGTTCAACCACTCACTTAAGCCAGAAATAGTAACTTCTGTTTTGCCCTGTAGAATGATCAACACATCAGCTTTTCTTGGGAACAAAAATTGAGGTTGACATTCAGAAATATAAGTCTACGATTTGGTCGGAATTTCACCAAAATCGGACAATAATTGAAAAAGCTACAGGGCGATTAATTTTGCACATTTTTTTGTAGCCGGTTTTTTGTCTATGAGTGTATACATATACTCAGATATCTTTCATTCATCATATTTATTAGTCACCATTGAAGTGGTGACACATTAAAAGGGACAATTTGAAATCTGAAACTGGACATAAAAAAGAACTGGCCAATCACAATAATTATATCATAGCATGTAAAGAGAAACAATTTACCAACAAAGCAAAAAGATTTTATGAGTCAAGAAAACTCCTGAACAGATTATGGTTCCAAAATCAAGAGATTTATAGAATTTCATGAAGAAAAAATGGCTGTGACATTGAGAATCTGGATTTTGATCATCCTAAGATTCAGCCATAGCATAAAGAAATATTGAAAAATCTTTTAACACCTGTAGAATATAAAAAAGGCCTGCCAGATATAAATTTCATCTCTGATACTTATTAAAGAAACCTGGATAGTTGCAGTGAAGTGTTGTCCTAATGTTAGTTCTAACCCTTGTTTTTCCATATATCTCTAAATTATACTGGGAAGCTTCTATTTATACAAATGTCCAGTAGTCTAATTTTACATTGAAAAAGAACAAAAGCAGTTCCTCAAAGAAACAGAATATTTCAACTATGATGGATTATGTCAATTTTCATACACATGAAAAAAAGTCAATGCAGTTTGACAAACAAATCAGTTTTCAACTTTGTTCACTTACCTTTACAGCCAAAGCTGGTGATGGGGCAATTGCTGTTTGCCTGAGGGCCTGCCCTGGCATAACAGACTGTGCAATCCCAGTTGCTGAAAATATCATTCTGTGCAAGTCAACTGAGATTTTGAATGATAGTAATTTGTTAGCATTGATAATACAATCAAACCAACTTTGGCATGCTATATCAGGAGGAAATGAATATGATTCCAACATTGTGTACTTACTGGGTCCTGAAACAGGTACACTTGAAACTGTGGCTGTAGGCTGGACAACTTTAGTGACACTACTTATTATGGAAGCTCCACCATCACCAGGTATAGCTCTACTTCTTAATAGTTCACATTCTGCTTTGACTTTCTGCAATTCATCTTCTAATTCTTGACACCTGAGATAGGGGTTATTTCAACAAGATTTTCACAAAAAATATGTATCTATGATCCACATTTTTACAGAATAACTAACATCAGATAATTCATTTATTTTTTTGTCTCTTTTGAATTTACTCACCTGAGATCTTTTGTTGCCAATTGAGCTTTAAGAGTTTTCTTGTCATTTTCATACACATGCAGTTGTTTTTCCAATTCAGCTTCCATCTGGAGTGACTTTTTGCTTTCTTCTTCCAAACCCTCTGCCATAGTATCAATTCTGGATTTTTCTTCTGACAGTATCTGAAAATATATTATTATGAATTTTGCACATCATTTGAATTGTATTCAGGAAGAACCTGAGCTAAATCTTCACTTCTTTTTCTTTCTTCAATATACTTCACTATTATCTTCTTTCTTTCAGCAAGAAGCAGCAGAACAATTTGTTTCTGCCTAGCTCTCTCCTCATCTGCCATTTCCACTTGTCTTTTCACCTCTTTTTCCAATTTCTTTCTAGCATTTCTTTCCATTTCTAATTCCTGCCTCAATCTAGTCCTCTCCATTTCTAAACCATATGTTATATCATCACCTTGAGCTGTATCATGTTCATGCTTGCATTTCTCTTCTTCCAATTCTTGAATTACCTTCAAATATGTGAAGCTTCATTATTGAGATTTTCACAGAAAAAAAAATTGATTCATGAACATTTGATAATTCCAACTATATAAAGAAGTATATACATCATTATTGATGTTGACTGGAAAAATATGAACTTGTGCATATTTTTGCAAACATAATTAAGCATTTCTATCATTGTAGTTTTTGTGTTTCAATCAGCTAAAATTCTGCATTATATGAATTTTCAGCATCAGCATTAACAAATTGAAATATTCTGAAGAAAAGTTCTTTATTTTGGACATTTTCAAGTGCTGCAATAGAAAAACTGAACAATTCTGTGATGGCTATTTAGGAAGATTATTCATGTGAAAACCAATAAGTACATTGTAGAACTATAGAATAGGTGAAATAAGTACATGTGAGATGAACTTATGTTACAATTGAATTGGCTATTCCTGAGCAGATACACATGTTTTGAATATACTTCAGCAAGCACAGAGTACCTAGGATTAACATTTAGATAAAATTCAATGAATTGGGCTTGTATGCATTCCTAAGTTATTTGGTATGGTACATATCACATTAACTCACTTTCTTGTGTTTATTTTCTGCTTCTTTCAATATGTTGATCATATGCTGGTGGGCCCAGCGTTGCTGTAAAACTAGTTGTTCTAGGGCCTGTAGCTGCTGCTCAGCTGCCTGTGCCATGTCTTTTTCACTCACTGGAGGTTTAGCTGTGGGTCCATCTGCTATGCTATCTCTGAGCAATGCTGTGTATGGATCTGCCATAACAGCAGGTCTATATCTTCCTACACTGACTACTTGTTTCAACTTTTCTGACTATAAGATATAAATAAATGTCATACACCTTTCCAATTTCGAGTTCAAAAGGAACACCAATATACTTGAGTCAATCTACAGGCAATGTAAATGAGGTATGGACACAAACCTTAAGGGCTGCAATAGCTATCTCTCTAGCTTGTATTTCTCCCTCAAAATAAGTAACAAATTTAAGTAGATCGTTTTTTGATAGCTCCATTTTTGGGTTCCTCTGTAAGGAAAATAATGAGTTAATGATACAAAGAATGCTGATGAGCAGACCTTCAAAGTTGCACTAGTATTTGCTCTGTCCATTTGTTCATATTGATTGATCCCAGGAGAAGTTCCTTGGTCGGCAATAGCCGTTGAAGGGGACTCGAAGTCCACAACCCCAACACCTAAGCTGCCCATCCAGTCAATTCCTACATTATTAGTGGCCATTTTGAAGGATTTCGGTTGGTTCGCACTTTTCCTGGGCTCTTCGCTAAGTTGAATTCATGTTGCCCCTTCGGCATGCATTTAATTTGATTTATGGATCCGATCTGAATGCTAAAATTGGCATTTTCTTTGACAATGGAAACAAAACAACACTTTTTAGGTTAATCACATAGACACAATCGATTATGCCACCCACAAAACGGTAATGAGGAGAAAACATGAAACTTGTTCTATGTTTCGACACGACTTTTGCTTTTGACTCATGCCACATGTCACTTGTCACTTCTCACGAAGATCACCCTAGATCATATAATATGATATGAATATGATCTAAGATCATCTTAGATCATTGACACAGAGTTCTGGGGTTAGGTAGATAAATTTACACCTGACAGTGCACCGGAGGGTCTGGAGGGGTTGTAGTTTGTAGTTGTCAGGTGCTCCAATGTATAGAAATATACATATTTCATCCTTGATCCACTGATCTAAAATTATGCCCTCACTTTACATGGTGTCGTATCCAGGAAGACGTGATGGTGGTATATCTCCCCCTCCCCCCCCCAAACCTCGTCTAAATATTGATATAGTCACCATTTGTGCTGTGATATGTCTATTGAAAATATATATTCATATATATTTAACTTTTTATATTGATGACCCCCTCCTAATAATATTTAAATACCAGGAGGGGGGAGCAATCATAGAAATATGATTGAATAATGATCCTTAAAAAATCAAGACAAATCAATTGTTCGCCTCGATTTTCTCACAGAGCCCAGACAGCATAAAGTGGTTCTGAGAACGTTCTTGAAATGTTCTCACATCAAGGTTCAAGGTGCACTGCGAGCGTTCTCAGAATAATATTCTAAGAGCATGCAAATGGGACGAAAAATCACGTTCCAAGAACGCGTTCTCACAACATATGATTGAAGCAACCTCAAAAAATCAAGACCAGTCAATTCTTATTCGTCTCGATTTTCTCACAGAAGATAGATTGACCTTTGGAGAAAATAGCAATAGCGATTTGTAAAAACTCGAAAAATTGAAACCAATCAATTCTTCAAAAAAAAAAAATGGAGATAATGAATGAACGTATACATACATTCTTTACCTTATAGATTGATTTCCATCACCCACTGAAAAATTCGAAAATTGGAACAAAATCGAATCAGATTATTGTTGCACAATGTGTGAGGTATAATTTACATTCATCAAATAATTCCTATATAGGATATTTTCTTTCCCATTTGAAATAATTTTAAATTATCCCTTCCCTACAAATTACCTTCAAAAAATATCGGGGTAAGTCACGTCACCGTTCAAGAAGTGAATGCTTATTAAATGAAATGTAATTAAACTAGAATGAACATAATGATATATTCATATTTATGCATTTCTATGGAAGGTTGACATCAGAAAACCGTCGTGTTTTGATCCACAAAGAGGCGCCCAGGCAGAATATTTTAATTACAGACGGGGTTGTTCTTGAGTTTACAAGTGCAGTAGGTATACTTACAGGACAAACTGCGTTATAGATATTCATCCAACATGGTTTTCATTTGTAAGATTCGATGTTCAGGGTTATTCTCAGTTTTGATGATAATGATATTTTTCTTTATTCACGAAGGGTATACCTATACCTACCCACACAGAAGATTTATTGCTTCCTATATAAGCCATTTGAAGTGTGCGATTACTCTCCGATAGATTGATTATCATCATCTATAACAATCCCTCTGTATGTTTAGGTCCACGTTGCCATCAAGAAAATGAAAATATCGAATCTGCATGACCATTACCGGGCGGTGACAATGTTTTCATCAGACAAGTCATGGTTTCCAGAGTAACTGAAGGTAAGTGAATGTAAAAGTTGGCAGGGAATTGGATGAATTCAAGAATTGTGACATTTTTCGACATTTCATACTCTCCCATCACTTCCGCAGAAGGGATTATCATTGAGTATATCGAAATTTTAAACGCGATTATCTTCGTAGACCATAATGACTTGTCTAATTAATTCGTTGACACCCGGTATACTAGTATCTGTTGCAGCAAACGATAGGTAGTTTGAAAATGGAGTGAAAAGGGTCGGATTAAGACCCCTTGGCGCCCAGGGTACAATATATTTTTTCGCTTCCCACACATTAAATGAATACAAAAATGGAAAATATTCATTTCAAAAACGAGTTACAGGATCTTTTTATTAATTTATCTTGAATTTACAGAACAGATTCGTTTTCGAAACCTCCAAAGCTATATATATATGTATGTATGTATGTATGTATGTCCTTATTTCTCTTCTTTGAACATATTTCAAAAGGAGATGTCACTCATGCACAATCGCTGTAATTTTTCTTTCATAGACTCTTCAATAAAAACATTTTTGAACGCAGTGATATATTTTGGGGCAAATCACCAAAAAAACCTGGTGAAATAAATAGAAGTAGAAATCACAAGCAAGGGATACCATTTCTCGAAATTCGAAACTGGTATACAAATAGAAAATATATAACGGATGTAAAATTTTAATGAGCTCCCTTTTTAGCCTGGAGCAGTATTATAAATGTCTCAATAAAGCATCGTTCATCAAGACTGTTTATAGAGGGAAATCTCGCTTGGCCCTCTTATGACTGATATCGATCGAAACCTGAATTTCTAATCGATCTGAGTATTTAGTTACTCACTCCATGATACTTATTGATCATTATATTATAGAATAGAATATATTTATTCATCCAAATAGGACAATTTCTCATTCGTACCTATGTGGAAAGTCATCAACAAAACCATAAGAAACCACGTAGTGGTTACTATGATAACTCAGATATTCAGAATGTTTCTTGTCTTCTGCTTATAATACTTATTTGCCAAATTTTCGCCCCCGATTCTGACTTCGCCCCTGGGCAGTTGCCCCTAGTGCCTTGTGGTTAATCCGGCCCTGGGATTGAACATGCAAAAATAGTTCTGAATAATCTATTTTCAGAATAAGTATAGGTCCTTATATTTGAAATTCGAACTCAATAGAAGATTGTTTCCCGTATATTGAATATTGAAAAACTGGATATTCACATTTTACGAATACTTAAAGAGGGGTCCTCCTATATACTGCATATAATGCAAAGTATTATATATCATCATAGTCCTGAGGAGTTGGTTTCATTCATTCTACAAACGAAGCTATCAATTGATCAAAAGCAGTTGGAGACGAGGATAAGATCAAATCCAGGTTTTTGATTGCTATAGGTACTCAACAGAGAAGGGAGAAGTAAGCCATTCTCTTTTAATGTATATCGAACAACAAGAATAATATGTTATCGAAACTACCTCCTATTGAAACAGATTTATGGTGATGAAATCCTGAAGAAAATTAAACTTCATGTTCCTTTTTTCGTGTCATTAGTTTCCGTCTTTCGCTCACACCGATAGGATTTCGAACTTTCCTCGGGGATTTTATCTCTTTTTGTGATAAATTCGCAGGAACTCAAATATTTTGTATGGGACCATGATTGGAACCAGTATTTATTGAAGCGTTTACAGCCCTAATTCTACAACTTGCGACTTCCTAGAAGAACGAGAAGTTTGGTATTTACCATTCAACAAACAGGCACGTTATTTCATGTCATTTATCATTCGCGCATCCTTGGACAATGATGCCATTTCAATACGAATCGCTAAAATGTTCAGTATTTGAAGAAGCTGTTATAAGCCTCCATTTATTATATCTCTAGTATCACACCTTCCAATCTACCGGGTGACACAGACTCATGGTATCCCTTTTCTCCTTTGTTTTCTAGCTATATTTCAGAAATTTGGAATATCGAATATGCTCACTTGAGGGCACTTTTTCACATTTGAGTTTTTTTTCATCTTCCGGTTTTCCTGGAAATTACATCAACTTTCGATTTTCCGAATTTCAGAAATATTGTTTGAAAACAAAGGAGGAGAGGTATATTAGATAATTCTATATATACAATTTTTCCCCGACAAAATTGAGCTTCGAAAACTATTACAGGCAATGTGATTTTTTTTCAAATACGATATTTATTTGGTTACTGATAATTGGAAAAAGAAATTGAGAACATTTTTATAATTCTACTCTGGTAGGTAACTGCGTATGAGTGTACCAAGTGTCCTAGAGCTTCTGTAGGCCATCAGCAGATTTCTGGATTTAATAACATACAACAATACATTTGTGGAATATATGGGAGGAGAAGCTCTCCAGGAATCGAATCACTCGCATTCAAAAAAATCTACTAAACACCACCCTTAATCTTCCTTTTCAAATTGCACCCCGAATATTTTTTTTTCGGGTTATATAGTGATATAGGACTGAATATTTGGCAAGAAACATATCCTAGGAAAAACATACATCAATGTTTCCTTGAATGATTGTTTGAACTGACTGTCTCTCAAGATGTGGATCGAAATTATTCACTTGGTGGCAACTGAATATCCCAATGAGATGATCAAATATACACTTTGAAGCAAGAATTCGAACCGGAAATGCTCGGTCAGCAAAGGATTTTCGAATAACAACAAACATAAACTACCCCTCTTAAGGTGTGGAACGAAATTATTCGCTTGATGGCAACTAGATATCCCTATGAGATGATCAAATATGCAACTTAAAGCAAGAATTCCAACCAGAATTGCTCGTTCAGCAAACGATTCTTGAAAAACAACAAGAATAAACTACCCCTCTTGAGGTGTGGATCGAAATTATTCGCTTGGTGGTAACTAAATATCCCTATGAGATGATCGAATATACGATTTGAAGTAAGAATTCGAACGAGAAATGCTCGGTCAGCAAGGATTTTTGTGAAACAACAGGAATAAACTACCCCTCTTAAGGTGTGGATCGAAATTATTCGCTTGGTGGCAATTGAATATCCCTATGAGATGATCAAATATGCAATTTGAAGCAAGAATTCGAACCAGAAATGCTCAGCCAGCAGGGAATTTCGAAAAACAGCTAGAGTACACTACCCTCCTTAGGAGGTGAATTGAAATTATTTTACCAGTAGCAACACAACAATGTACCTATTCAAATGATTTTATTATCAAATATGAATCGAAATGTCCGGTCAGCAAACTTTAATTTTGGTCAGCAAATTATATGTCCTCCACTTTTGGACTCGCCTGGCACCTACTTCTGCTCATCAGAATCGCACCTGTCCATTTTTTTCTTTATTCTACAATATCTGAATAATATCATGATGATATTTCCAGTTCACAGCGACAATTTTCCTAATCATTTT